GTGTTCTTTAACGAAAAATTGCATTGCATAACATGTACGGAGTTATACTCCAATAACCGCATTTTTATGTAGCGGCCTGGTTGTGCTAATTTCATCCCATGCATGCAACGCTTGATTTACATCACAGTAAATAAATGAACTGTACATTTGTAGGTATTTAGTTTGCTGTAGCGGATTCATGTACAATTTTTTTACCAAAGATGTAGAGTATATGTATGCCTGCATGCATGTAGTGGAGGTGATGGTGTCCGGTTTCTTGGATGCATTTTATTTAATGCCAACTTTGGATTAGAGCAAAGTAACCACTGTGCAAGTAATCACTACTGCTTTTGAATTTAAATTCTTAATGCCACTTAATTTGCTTCGCACTGTAATTTGCACTTGAGTAAATCAAGAGAAGGGGAGGGAGGAATGAAAGAAAAATATTGAATCAAGGATGAACAGAAGACTATGTAACGGGATCGGGCATTATTGTGCTCTTCCCTTTGTGGATGAACATCATCATAAAGAATAAAGTATAAAGAAGAAGAAGGAGAAGAGGGACGACACAAAAATTCATAGCTTGGCCATCGTGGAACGGATCGGATAAGCAACCTTGTGCTACCCTCGTCGTCGTCTTTTTCTGCTGCTGCTCCTGCTGCTGAGGTCGTTCATCAATCTTGTCTTCACATCCATCCATCCCAGCTCATCTCGGTTCCGGCAGCCTTTTCTGGGTGGATGACATTTCTTTGGCGACGATGTGAAGTCAGGAGAGGAAAAAGAAAGGAGAAGACTCTTCACCTCGGACACTAAATCAGAATAAACAAAATATTTTATGTCGTTTGTAAACCAACAATTCTTTTGCAGCCAAGTCGAGACACATTTCTCGACTTGAGACATGGCGATAGCACGAATTTGATGGCAAAAAAAGAAAACAGTTTCATAATCTCAGTGACTATGGGGAATCCATTTTTCGGGGAATTTGATATCAAAATTTGTAAGGAACGGTTACAAACATAATATTGATTACTCAACGGTTAATCATTCATTGGTTATCGTGGAATTATATTTTTTTACCTACGACAAGGCTCCTCATGATTACTCATTATTTCAAATAAATAGGAGATTTGATGGTGGATGAACCATTCATGTCTTGAATCCTAGATACCTGACCATTTGCAAGAACTAGAAAAAAACGACTGGCAGGAATCACACTTCTGCAGTCGAATCTGAATAGTAATGAAGATGAGCTTGAAATCGACGCTATTAAATCAAAGTTCAAATTCATTAAATCAAATCAGTTTCACCTATCTCACCCAGCCCAATGAACGGATTCTTATTTTTATTTTTGCCCGAGAGTCTTCAAGAAGTGGTCCGAGTAGTAAATAAATAGTAGTTTAGAGGGAATAACCTACTTTTCCATAAAAATAACGACTACAGGGATCCGTTGCATTTTGTGCATAAAAGCTATCAAAAAAGATTCCAAAGAGTGATGATGATGATTTTCGTGCAATTCTACCTGTCTGGATTTTATCGTGTCGTTAATCTTAGTAATTGACACAGTATATTTTTAGTACGACAGTGACAATACGGCAGTGAATTATATATATTTGTAAAATACACTGAAACGTAATTTAATAAATACTAATTCGAACTAAGTTGCTGTTCTTAATTTTCGTTACTGTTGCTTTAGTTTACTACAATTTAGATTAATATACATTGCCAATGATATGGTCGCACATATTGACAAAATATTAATTTATTAAGCTCAATATTACTATAATTAACTCGTGTAAAAATCACATGACAAAAATTCTTACTAATTAAAAGATTCCATTAAAAAATCCCGTTAAGATTCAACACCACCAATGTCAATCAATACTAAACTGCAACTTCACGGCTGCATAATACAGAGACAAAAAATTAATGGTTGCACTTCTTTTCAACGCACTTGGCACTGATTTGAATACTTTGAAGAACAAATGACCTGGACTAACGAATAAGATAAATTTCTTAACTTTAAATTAGCAAATTACTCCAACAATGCAGCTAATGATTGACGCTTTACCAAAAGACGCGTGTACCAAAAATGACAAAACATGGATGCCTTAACTTAAACACATTACACTTTGTAAATAAATTTGTATTATTCTTTTGTCTCATTTTAGTTGAAACATAACCACGTGCAGGTGCATGCATACGTGTTTAAGTAATGTGCATCGACCACATCAATGAAATTCTTTGCTTTATTGGTCTCCTAATGAGTTTTGTCGCTTTCAATCTCGCTTCGCATTTAGAAACACGTAACGTTACATTGAATTCGTAGGTAGCTGTTTATGTACGTACAAAGTATTGCAGGTATGGGTGTAACTAACTACGAATGAGTAAGAATATGACAGCATAGGCCAAATAGCTTTAATCGAACGCTTAATTTGATTACATAAACTGTGTGTTTACAGACGAAGAAAATATGGTACTGATAAAATCAAAAATATCATTTTATCCAATTTTTCACATCATCACAGACGATGGTCAAATTCAATAAGTGATTTCATCTATGATACGTAATTGTGTAATGCATGCTCTTTGTTCCATAATTTAATTGTCTTCAATAAAATGGTTCCTGAATTACGAATTCTTACGAGAAAAATAATTCCTGATTGGAATTGTTTCCTATCCAAAAAAGTTATACAAGATTACGTTTTGGAGAAATAAAATATTTGGTCAATCTGTGGAAAGATTTATGTAATTCGTACAAGTGTTAGTTAATCATCGTCAACCAAATGCAAATCCGCGTGCGAACTTGTCTACGTATTAAAGTGCAGAAATAATGTCGTAATAATGCGTTGGCTGTATTGACGAAGATGTCACCTTTACGTGACAAGGCGATCATAGAATACAAACTTTGGAAGCTTAACGTTAAATGGTTTGAAATTCTGTCTGTTATGAAATTGGTGTCACAATAAAGTTTTATTGGTTGAATAATTAGGGTTTTATTCAGGTTCTTGTTATACTATTACAAAATTCGATAAAATAGAGCTCGGTATGAGAACAATATGTACGAATACCCTTCGGACATGAAATCCATTATAATTTTACGATGAGCATGCTCTTTTTTTATATAAAATTGAGCAAACCTTCAAGCACAATTCATAACCAAATTCAAACCAACGTTATTAAAATTTCTCGAAAGTGTTGTTAACGGTGGAAGGATTAAATTATGGAAATTCCAAGATTACCCCAATCTGTTACATGATTGATGGATTCGTATCGGTAGATCAAGGAAGTATTTTTGCTTAATCAATTTACAAGGAAGCCCTAATGTGCAATTGAGATGAGCACGTAAAATGTGAAATAAGGTATTTTAATAGCATAAACAAATTTCGGTCTGAAACGTTACGGAAATACGAAATCAGGTCCAAGTTGATTCTCAACCCTAATCTGCAAAACAGTGGAATCATATATGTACTTCATAGTGAAATGTACAATTTTATTATAAGTATGAGGGATATCCAGGAACTGGGAATTGGTGAAATACGCTTGGAGTTTGATGTAGGAAGTTCTTGAGACGATATTATTATTCTAGGATTGACTTTAGTGTTATCTTGTGATGGTCGTTTGTTTAATGTCACCAGGGACGTTGTCAATCGAATGGAGACTTTAGAATCATCTTCTCTCATGCATACACCGACCCTGATTTATTCTCCTCGCTCCACATCCGTCCATCCGAAATTCCCAGTTCGAAAGTGTTGTTCTACAACAGAAATATGTCCATACGTAAAAATACGATCTGGATACGAGTGCGTTGAACAAGCGATAAGCATGCAGCTTTCAATCCGATGATTACTTGATATTCTGTGAGTTTTAGAATTTTGTATAATTTTTTATTGAAATGATAACCATTGCATAATACATGAGTAATGATATTTGGGGATAATCGAAATCTCATTATTTCTACTCGGCTCTATAAATCTCATCTTTAACTCGTATTTGTGCCAAAGTCACAGTCTTGGATGGATTTATCAAAACATGTAGATGTGAATTATTCAAGTTATCCGAACATGTAAGATATCTAGCTCATGGACGTGAGTGAGTTTGTCCCCAAGAGTAAGCCCAGGTGAAGTTGATAGGTTTTGAACACTTACTTTGAGTAACAGCTGAGTTGGAATCACCAAATCTAGTCTACATACTGATGTGGTAGGAGGAGGTCAGTTATGGCGACAAGACAAGACACTTATGTCGGAGATTCACCTATTGGGAAACCTTTTCATGTGATTACTGCCCTAGGTTAACATTTGGAAGACTTGGCACGTACAAAATTGGAGTTGTCAATTTGAGGACAGAAACTGGTCTGCATGAATTTACGTATTGGTATTAGTGAGCAGACAATTGACATGAGGGTTTCTTGAAGATAATGGATTTCGTAATTTGAGCATCTTATTAAGTACGATCTTATTAGCAGTCTCTTCTTCTCGTTATCGATGTGACTCACCCATTCCACCTTTAAGATTGTCAGTATTATTGCATGTAAGTACTAAATATGTACATAGGTTTGCATTTTGTACGTATATTTTGCATTGATAGTTGGATATCAGTTTTGGAGCCAGAAATTGTAATGGAATTGCCAAAGTACATCCAGTTGTTGTCGATGAAGAAGCTTGAACTTGGTGTTTTCATGACTTTGCAATGATTCACCTGCAATTTTCCGACCCAGGATTCTCAATCTTCCCATCTCGATCCTTCTCACTTTTTTGAAACATTCTCGTGCCCCGTTCACTCCACCACTTTTTTTGCCACTTTTTAATACAACCTATTTTACGACACCAGTACGAGTGGCAAGCAGTGGCAACATGATTGTAAATTGCGAGTAACCTGAAGCCGAGTGGTACAAACTATTCAACAATGAGCTTCATAAGTAGACAAGGAGGGAGAGGATAGCTTCGGCTGAATAAGTACGAGCAACAGAGAAGAAAGACTTGCCTAGAATTCGCAGTTATTTGGTGCCAATGTTTTGGTCGCAGTTAGTTCTATCGCTGGTGTTGGCGAAGCCGGACAGTCTCCAAATTGTTTTGACTCTAACAAAAATTTAACAAAAAGTGCGCAAAGACTTGGTCAAGATATATTCCAAAAGTCCATTAACCTCTCAACAGCAACAAATCAAAACGCGATTTAGCCAGATGCCAGCAAATACTACATTTGCATTTCCTTTTCTACACAAAGAGTAATTTGCATCACGCATTTTTTCCAATATTCCAATTAATCAACATACGGGAAGAAGACGGGCGGAAGAAAGAGGTGATCAAGAACAAGTCGAAAATCTCAACTTCCCCTCGGCAATCCTGGTTTCCACATCTCATCCGCATCCCATCTCCTTCAGAATTTATGCGACTCGTGTCAACATCGACCACAATATATTTAGTTGTCCGCTCTGCATGTAGCCCTCGTTCCTAGTGAGTATCTCATTTTTGCGGACTTTGAAAAACCTCAAGTCACGTGTGGAGCAGATATCTCAGGTGAGTTCAGGAAAATTCGTTAATAACTTCTCTCCAAACTTTCATAGTTAGCTCGTTGATTTTCTCATCCTCAAAATGGTTTCACACAAATAACTTGGCGTATGTTTGTAGCAGATTTTTTATTCGAAATAATTACAATTTTGAAAAGATGATGCGAATTTAAATGGAGTTACAAACCTTGAATTCCACCAAACCACACAAACATGGTGCCAGTTACTACTCCTACTATTACCACTACCAGTACTGCATTTAATTGAGGTTGCAATTGCATTTCCAAGCGGTAGATAGTCGTTACACTAGTGAAGCAGAAAGCCATAAAAGTACTGCGCTATAAACCAAGACACAAACCCAGTGCAGAAAACTGAGACAATTCTCTTCCAGAGTTCGTAAACATGCCTCTTGTAGTCATAACATGATACGTGTCCGTCATTCCTGCCAACTTGGAGGTGTTTTCTTGTATCCGTTCCTTCAGCAATTGTGGTTACTTTTATTGAGAAAGTAATTCAAGCGAAGGATCATTTTATGAAATCATAGAAAATGGCCATTTTTCCAGAGAGTAGATTAGCAATGATGACCATTCAATACTTAAAACGCGACTGTGACTTGCACCTGTCGCACTAACAAAACATCTCATCCATACAGTTTTCCTCGTACCTAAGCACTTTATTCATTCCGCACCTGATGAAGAGATTCCGACATTATGCAATAAAATTGTGCAGGCGATATTTCTCAGTTTTTTTCAACAGCTTAAAAACAGCTTTATATGGGAAGAACTGCTGTGGATGGAAGAATGTTTTGAATTCTATGCAGTCCAAATTATACAATTTGTCCTGTTCACAAATGATTACTTATTGTTGCCGAAACAAGATTATAGTTATGCTGGCATTGAACGGGTACAGTGTATACAATGGCACAAATGATCCCCTTGAACAAATTCTCACGCAATATGCAGCACTTTGTACGATGTATGACTGACTGTGACAACATTGGTTGTTGTCATTTTCTTCCTTCCCCTGCCTGCAATCCGATGTGTCTTTCTCTCCTCGAAGGAATGTTGAACTGTTGGGTAGTGCAAGGAGGAGAGTGATTTAGCGGATATTGGCATCATCTCCAAGTTGCAATTTCCTGATTCTTTTTTTCGCAAAATAACTCCTTCTCCGTTTTTTGTGCATCTTCTCACCACCATACTTTTAGGGGTTGATTTTGATTTGTTAGCTCATGCAGCGAGAAGCAAGCAGGAGAAGCATCTGAATACTTTAAGTCGTTGCAGGCAGGAGTAGTGCATGGATCGGTATTTGTATTTCGCCGGTGCGACTTTACTACAATTACGGCGGAGAGAGAGAGAGAAGCATCTTCCTCTCATTATTGCATAATAATAGCGACTCATTGTGTCAGAATTTTACAGTTGTTGCGCTCAAAATCGACTCCAACTGTTCATCACTTTTTGATCTCATCATCATCTTCCTCCGTTTTACCCTTCATTGAGCGAGATATCGCAAATCGGAATCGAATTAGTGTTTCCATGTTTTAAACCTGTGGATTTTTTTGTTTGAGTAATAATATTTCGGAAATATTTAACAACTCAAGTTAATTTTGCTTTGAAAATAATGGAGCGAAAAGTCTGAAAATATTTAAGCTGTCGGTAACCTTAAAGGATTTCATGGAACCGTCAATATAAACAATTATTGCCACATTGAACGTGCTTCGCTTAGCTCAGCATTGAAATGGTAAATTATTGCGATATGTTGTAACAAAGGGCTTAGAGAGTAGAGCGATTTATTTCATTATGAATTGTAAGACCGGACTTGGTTATTGCTTGAAGCTTCAAACAAATGCAAATCCTTTGGTCAATAATCGCTGTTCCCATTGAATGGCCAGATCTGTAGTCAAGTCTCAACGCTCTGCAATGAAGAAAAACAACACTTACAATGGAGGCGCAAACCATGTTCAGCCCAGATAATTTTTTGACCTTATTAGTTTGAAAGAGCAACTCTTTACAAACAACATTTGGTTCGGCACTTGGGCAGATGCGCAAATTTCAGCACGTTATGGGCGCCGCAAGTTTGCAAAAACGCACAAAGTTGAGCTCGCGCTAGGCATTGCCCGAGAAATCGTGCGTTTTTGCGAACTTGCGGCGCCCATAACGTGCTGAAATTTGCGTATCTGCCCAAGTGCCGAACCAAATGTTGTTTGTAAAGACTTGCTCTTTCAAACAAATAAGGTCAAAAAAATATCTGGGCTGAACATGGTTTGCGCCTCCATTGTTAGATACTTATTAACAAAGGGAAAAAATCTTCAGGATTATCAGTGCAAGTTCACATGCAAAAAATATTTGTAATGCATAAATGGACCTGTAAACTTCACACGTGCACATATACAAATATGGTTTTGATATTAATTAAGGGAACAAAGTACTAAAATGTGATAACACTGATGGGATGTTTTAACATTTAAAGGCTTTACCAAATTTTTTATTCCTATTGCTGACTAGGATTATTGAGGTCACTTTGTTAATGTCATCGGATAGTTAGGATTAGTCCGAATCGACAGCAATCATTTATTTGTCTCTAATACATCGTAAGTATGGAATTTAACAAATAAATTGCTAAAACAAAACTATTGATCTAACGCATCCTTTGCTGATAATCTTGTGAATATAATCTTCGAATTTAAAAAGGTGAACAATAGAAAAGTTTACCTTATTTTTCACCAACTTACTTTTACGAAATATTTTAAATTTTTACAAGGTGCACCTTGAATGATAGAAAATTCAATTGAAACTGGGTTATGCAGAGTGCAAACAAGATGCACAGATCAATCATATGAAAAAAATATGATATTCATCGGGATAATGTAGACCAATATTTATGAAGTTGTGATCAGGATTAAGTGTCTTACATAACAGTTACGCCGAACCAGACAGACTGGGTGCTCACTCATCTTTCTTACCAAGTCTTTTGTGGACCATTTTGTATGTACTGTTATTATATTACTCTGATTTCGCGATCAGTTCATTTTGAATTTCTCGTCTTCAGTAAACCTTTTAAATACAAAAAGATTAATGCAAGCTGAACCAGAGGTTGAAATATTGATCCAATTTTTTGCTACAAAAATCTATATCATTTTAAATTACGCAAATTTATGCATACATATCAAAATCGTGCAACAAAATATAATTGCTGCCAGATTACTGACAAATACCTCAAAATTTTGTAAAATCACGAAAGGTGTCGCATAACAGAACTGGAATTTGAAATGCATGTGTCAATGAAACGAGTGGTAGAGCTCAAGCCTGTTGGGATTGGGATGGTCAAGCAAGGAAAATGTCACTTTCAACAAAATCTGGCTTTTGGCAGAGTCACCCGGCTCATCATCTTGTCTTTGTGGCGTCTCCACGTTCAGTTTCGAGTGTGACTGTCACTTCATTGTCATCAATGACTGAGTCAAGAGTCAAGTTCGAGTACGTCCTGCATAGTGGACCAACAAGACAACTCAATCTTCTCTTTGTTGACTTATACACAATGAAGTTTGACACATACTGCTCCTTTTCGACTAGGGAAACAATGCACGAGGAGCAATTCGTGGATGCCAAGACTGCTGCTGCTAACGAAGCAAATCAGCGGTACTCTTCCTACTACTGTTATACATGCAGCCAGATTTTTTGCAAAATATATCATCATTTCTTTCTCGGAGAAGTGTTATTGCGAATAAATAAAATAAATCTTTAATTCCGTGCCCTTCCTCTTCCCCATGTCTTGTTGACCTCTGTCCTCTACGAGTAAAAACTAAACTATGTACATAACTGGGCAGCACCGAGAGACAGACTGGTTGAGCTTTTCCTTGTTGAGGTGGGATTGATTGCAATGACCGTGTAGTAAAAGTAGACGAAAAAGCTGAAAAATAGTGACAAGTGCACTGCACGAAACTACGAGTTAACTAATGACTGACGCCTGCAGTTTTTTTTCAAATTCTGCCATAACAATGATTCATTTGAATTGACGACTTACATACATCTCCGACATTCATCACACAAAGTGCACCGTTGGTGCTATACGTACGTATGTACATATTTGTGCAGGGATTTCGTTCGTCAAGCAAGATTTATGATGAGCATGATTAAAATTCATTAGAAATGAGATTCCAACCGACAACTCCAACTGTTCAATATGGTATAATATTTCAAGAAAAAAGTCGCTTTGTCTTTGTTTGTTTTTCTGCGGTTTTGGTTTGCGCTTCCTCGTGATGAAATGAATGGATGGAATTCAGAGCAAGGAGATAGATAAATAGGGGTGAGCGGTAGGAGGGACACTGACCATCGTTGTACCCGATTTTTGCTGCATATATTTGAAAATAAATACAAATTCCTCGTTTTCTTAATGATATCAGGTTTCCATAAAACTGAAAAAAGGTGGGAGTGAGTGATATATGTGTGATTGCGATGAATGAAAAACAAAATTCTTTGCATTGCGACTGGGACAGTTTTATTAATTGCCACATTTGTTGAATTTATCGTCGTAAGTGATTAACAAGAATGTTTTTGAATTGGAATGTAGGGTAATGAAGCAGTTGAACTCGAGATGAAGATATGAAGGTTGATTATGAAACATGCTAAAAGATTAAACTGGTTCCTTTTGAAACCAGAATAGAATGAATGATACGAATAAGTTGCATGAATTTTATGCATTTCTCGTATTTATGACATAATGTTGCATAAATGTCAAAAAACTGGCGTGTTTGCTCCTATTGAATAATGTAAATTGGTTATTACGAAGAATTTAATAATATGACTAATTCGATTTGTATTGTATGTTTGCAGATTCCGGGTCACTTTGGAGTTTCGGCTGCAGATCAGTAACCAAAAATGACGCCAGTCGACCATTTTTGGTCACTGACTTGTCTAATCTTCGCATTTACATTGATTAATGCCAGTGAGTATTCCTTATTTCTTATGAGTTACATTTAAACATGACATTGTGTTGGCATTGTTTATATTTATCAATTTTATATATTTATTTATCAATATTTAATATTTTCAGCCCCAATCAATCGTCAAGTTGGTATAAGCGAGAACGTTTTCATCACCGTTCAAAACGACACGTATGGCATTGAACAGCGAGGTAATTAACAAGTTCTCTGCATTATGTGTATCAAGAATTAGTGCAGTTTTCATTAAAAAATAAATTTGTTTAGTTTGTTCCATCGACTCGATGACCTATGGCGACGGGGAGACGATTCCTACCTCTTCTCCATGCGAGCACTGCATCTGTCGCCCACCAGGTTTTGCCTGCACCATTATCAGTTGCGAATATCGACCAGGCTGCAAAGCTTTCAAGCGATCGAACCAATGTTGTCCAGAATACCAATGTGGTGAGTAAATTTAAGTACCACATTTTTTCCAAGTTCACTTTTTCGTCATAATTTTGGACAAGTGTGTGTGGGATGTTATTGGCAGTGATGTGATTTGATTAGCTTTCGCGTACATCGAAAAGTGCAACAACGACATGACTCATATTATTTCTCTCTTGGACACAACAGGAATATCCAGAAATGAGAAATTGGCTCCTACTCTGTAATTAAATTGCACGGTGTAATTACACTGTAACATCCTCAACAGCTGCGTATGCATCCTCTGGCCCAGAGAAAGACAATGACGAGCAGACATAATCACTGCATCGACGATTGTCATGTTCCTGAACCTGTTCACTGATCAAGGCGAGGAGGGTGTTGATCATACAATATGTACCATCACCCAATTTGTGCACATATATGCACATACCTTCACTCGATTGTTTACGTCCTCTCGTTACGTGGGGAAAATTATCGGAATTGACTCAATTCAAATCTGTTAGACCTTGAGAATCGTCATGAAAATGAGTCAAAGCGTGCAAAGGTTTTTCCGATGAAGTTTGTGCATGAAACGTAATACTGACTGATGCTACGTATTTGAACCCGTACAACAAACCACAAATTATCTCAACAGGTTGTACATAGTTGTACGAGAAATTCTTTCAAATGGGATGAATTTCGTATACATGAAAATGAAAATATGTACAAATTTTGGGTATTAATGCTCTATTCAATAGCACCAGTGGTACCAATAATTCTTTTACATGACAAAAAATCTGACCGCAAACTGATTAGAGGTAGGAGTTAGAGATTTCAGGTTTGATATTTTGCACAACAAAGTTATGTAAGTAACACATGTATGAGAATCCTAAGACGCACTCTCAGCACTTTCATAAATAGCAATATTTTGATGACGGAGGATATGGTTTGAAGGACATGGTTTGTTGAACATTTTGGAGAACGAGAACAGAAATCCATAAATTGTGTAAAAAAAACTCCGATGAATTGAATATGACACGCGTTTAAAATTGGTTTGACTTTATTTAAAAGAAATTCGCTGTCTTTCGTCCATATAATAAATTTATTGGACTGACCTTCAGACCTTCCGACCGGTTTTTAGACCATTAAATACCCACTGAACCAGCCAGCGAGTTCAGGAAGTCGCCCTTTCGATGCACCATGTGGTGTTTCATGCAGAATGCCAATCGGCAATATAATTCTTGGTAACGATTTTAAATCCTGTAAAATTTTCAAGAAAAATTATAAACTATTGAACTCGTAAAAGAATTATAAAACTAGTATAACTTTTATTGTCTCGTTTGCTACCTAGTTTAAACGAGCAAAGGATTTTGATGCACTAATCCATCATACCTACCACTAAAATTATTACGCATAATAAATAATGCACTTTTGTAATAATAACATTGTTTAATCTTGACCTTCTCACTGCCTCAAGGAGTTGTTTTTTATGCATGTATTTTTACATGCATGATGTGTCTAGCCAAAAGTTAATAGAATTAATCGCTGATCAAGCTACTGTTTATCGACATACGTATTTATGCACTTTGTACCTTTGATGAAAAATTTTGATGATTTTTAATATTTTCACAATGATTAATAAGTGCCATCCTATTGCACTATTGCACTTCAAACGCATCGAGTAGAAACATGGCGTAAATTAATATGCATATACAAAGTTTTGAAGTTTAACAAGTTCAGGGTGTGTCGTAAAAGATCTTGAAAATCCAGAGTTAAGACAAGCTTTAAAAAACCGTGGCTCCTTAGCTTTGATTGATCACATGATGTGTACATTCGGAGTTTGCTATACGTTCATCTTGTATTAGATTTGGATGGAGATGAGTCGCAGATGATGCAAGGATAAGATTCTGAAAAGTAAACCCCAACCGACTCCTGATTTTCCGCAGTTGCGAAGAGGGAGGTATTTGCACTGCGAGGTTTCTTTCTCTCTTTCTTTTTACCTGTAATGTGTACTTTTATTCCTCCATGGACCACGGACGCTTGTATCACATCATTGTACGAGCAGCTCCCTCATTTCAATCATCAAAGTCTTGATTTGATCAGATTTGTCTAATTTAAACCGTAACCAAACTCGAGACATAGACCAGAATTTGAGACTCGAATCAAAAGTTAAGCACAATGGAGAAAAGTTTCCCAATTTAATCAGATTTGGGAATTTAAGAGTGCATCTTTCATTCTCACTCAGTCAGGCAGCTCCTCAATACGTATTTCTCGCTTTTATTACTCCTTCTTGTCCTTGTCCCAATCCCAGGCGAAGCTTCGTAAGTTGGTCAGAACATGGCATGAGTATAAGCTCTTATTTACTCAATTCGGAGGATTATTCGCATCACAATTGCATACCGGGAACGAAAGGCCAACTCAATATCGTGGGTATTGGAATGAATCAAAGAGAGAATTTATTCCACTACAAGGGAGAAAATGAAAAGGTGTGGTGTGTTAAATTGAAATAAATTAGTGTGCGCTTTGCAACTTTACATAAGCTGACATATTTCAGAATTTAGCTTTCATGCATATAAATATTAAGTCCATTAATTAATTCATTAAGGAAATAATAGCACGATATTTTCCAGCATTATGTGGAGTATTTATTGAACATACATATGTAAGAGTTTTGTGGCGAACTCGTATGTGCATCAACTGTACAGCGATGTGGTAATGATGTCAATTAATAGAATTAATTTATCGCAGACGATCATCAATCTTTAAGCATGAGAATTTTATGGTGTTTGCTTTGAAAGGAATGAGGGAGACACGACTTTGGTCTCCAAATATCGGGGTTGATGAAAAATGTGTCAAATGAAAGAAAAGGAACAAAATGATGAGAAACATGATCGCAAACATGAGAATGCAAGATGTAACTGCATATTCTTATTCAACGCCTCGTTGTCCGTTTTGATTACGGTGATGAATATCAGAGGGATACGGGTTACTTGTCGAATCCTATGTCGTCGAAAAGGCAAGTCGTCGAAATCAATTTGTCGAACGGAAAACTCCTCAGAAAGGCAAGTCGTCGAATTTAGGTGGCATGAAACTCGTCGAATTTCATATAACATTTTTACTGATTTTACCTACCAATATATAATGAGTTCACAAGAATGCACAACACATGTGCATTGTGGGACGGATATACCTATACGCTGCGGACATTCCAAAATACTACACAGCCGTAATTGGGAGGATAGTTTTATTCTTTTTACCCTTATCTTTTACATTTAAAATGTCAAATTACTGTTACGAACCTAAATTTGAAGATAAACTGTTCTGATGGATTTTGAACAAGCTGAAATAAAAGCTGTACAGGACACGTTTCCAGAGGCCGTACTTCACGGGTGTCATTTTCACTATACTCAAGCGTTGTTTAGACATTTGACACCCAATTTAAAGAACCAGTACGACCAAGACGTTACAATGACATTATTATTCAGCCCGATGATTTAAGAGTGGCATTCCGAGAATTTAAAGTATCGCTCAATTTAAGGGTCAAACTAAACTCGAACTGGATGAATTTTTTAGTTATGTTCAAAAAACCTACATTGGTACAGTGTACGATCCACTAATGTTTCCAATACTCTTCTGGAATGTGCACCAGGGTGTATTAGAGAATATTTCCAGAACCAATAATGCACTGGGGGCCTGGAACAGGCGGTTTGGCATTCTTGTTGAGAGTTCTCATGTGAATGTTATTTTATAAAATTATAATTTATATTTAGAATCGTATTTTATTAAAAAAAATACTCTCGACAAGTATTATTTTCGACCACTTGCCCAAATGAAGAGTTACCCTTCAGACGACTCGTCCTCGACGAGTTACTCTTTCGACGACCATGTTTTCGACGAGCTACCCTAGACCCATATCAGATCGGATTTTCCATTTGTATGCATTTCTTGATCTATATAATGAGTCCAATGAGGTATTAGAGATTACGGAAGAAGTGTTGCGGTTTGTTGTGTTAAGGCTTTCTGCTCTAGTTCTACATAAAAGTCATTCCGAAAAATAAATTGAATGCAACATTTTACATGCAACGATAATTTTATGCAAGTGGTAAATACTATGAATTAATAGCTCGTAACACTTTCAGAATGCGAGAAGGAGGGAAGGATTTATCAAAATGGGGAGAAAATCATGGACAGCAACAACCCTTGCGAAGTTTGCTACTGTCAAGGAGGTGAAATTGTGTGCGCTGTATTGGACTGCTACTGGAGAAGCGATTGTCAACCACGATATGGTACGAACAGTTTGATATCAATTGTTCGATGAAATGCAATGCAATGCATATTTATTTACTACGGTCTGTAATTTGATAAAAATAATATTTTGTATTACCACACTTTCAGTGGAGAGTCGTTGTTGTCCATTGTACGATCATTGTCCACCAACCTCCAGTAAGTTACAGCTTTCACTATGATTGTCATAATTGTACGTAATTTGCATTGGCTGTGCGTTTTAATTTAGATATGGGACCATTCATGAGCAGACCAACGACCACCACAACCATGCCACCCAGTTTTCCCTGGTTTAATCTTAGCAACGCTGTATACGAAGTACCCCACAGAACCACAGCTCCACCAACACCAGTCCCAATATTTTTGACGTCCAGATCAACTGAGGAGCCTTCCCCCTCTACACCCACGCCAACTCCACCCCCTCAACAACAACCAGAACTTGTCATCGCCACGGAAAAGATACCCTTTGAAGTGAACATTATGGCTACTTCACAGGAACATGGAGACGAAGAACAACATGAAAACGTTCCAGATGTGCTACAGTCAACTGAAACATCAAATATTTCCCCAGTGACGGAAGAAGTCAGTTCTACAGTAGCAGGGTCATCACCGGTAGTCGCAGATGCAGAAAATGCAGTCATTCCCCCACTTGAACAGAGCATCGTTACCCCAGAAGCCAGTCGGGAGCCCATCACTGTGGAGCTTATTCACAGCACTCCAAGCCTCCCATCGCTACCTTCAACAACTATTTTTTCAGCTCCCGTTATCGCCATTTCAATTATTCCCAGTTCCGTGGAACACATTTTGGTAACCCAAGAGCCTTTGTTACTACCCGAAATTGTGAACCAAGTTGTTGAGGATAATGTTGCCCCAGCAGTTGAAGAAATTATCACGCCGATTGAAAATACCGAGCACAAAGAGGTGGTTGATATTACGACACAGGAACCATCCATACCTCCAACAAGCCTTCCCCCAGTGGTAGTTGGGAGTGAAGAATCGACACATTCATCAATATCTAGTGATGAAGTTGCTCCCACAGAAATCCTTGAACCTGTCGTGGAAACTGTTGTCATCCCAGAAACTCCAACTTCAGCTCCGATTGTTGTTTCCGACGAAGTAGTCGAAGTCACAACAACTGGTCCAGTACAGGTAGTAAGCTCGCATCAATCCCAGGAAACAGAAACAGTGGTCCCCGTAATCTCAGCAGAAGAGCCAACAACTACTTCACCGATCATCGAAGACGAAACTTCTTCCATCAAGGTTTACCCGGAAATTCCTTCTTCAGTCATGACCCCACCCGATAGAGAAAGTGTTGTGCCAGAGGTGGAAATAATTACCGTAACACCTCCCCAACTGGACGTTTCTGTCCCCAGCGTGGAGATGCAACCACCCAGCTCAGAATCTGCAATCCCACTCGAAAACAATGACGATCAAACCGTAGACTTTACCACAACATCATCAATTGCAGACTCTGAGGATGAATTGAAGGATCACAATATTTTACAGGACACTGCCATCACAATATTTGCAGCTCCACAAGAAGACGCTGCTCATCACGAAGCATCGCTTGACGAGGTTTTACCAACCCAAGAAGTTCCTGTTCAAGATGAGACTCATGATGAGACCGAAACCTTTTCTGGGACAATCATCACCACTACGCCTGCACAAGTCCAGCAGCAAGAATTGGAAGTTGAACCCAATTTTGACACTGCTCAGAACGCGGAACCTGAAGTGGTTACTGAATATCAGGAATTTATTACATGGACTGGAGCCCCTGAAATAGAGCAGCCAAAACCAGAAGTAGTGGCCCCTCCTGCGATAGTTCCATCTCCATCTAAAGAAGTCGATCATCCCATAATTGACCTAATTGATGCAGTCCATGATGACGCCGTGAGTGAAACTGTAACGGTCACACCCAGTCAGACACACACAGAATTTGTCACAACAACTGCTCCTCTCGCGGACGAACAGCAATTTATGATTGATGACGCCATACAGATTAACAATGACGAGGTGCCGCAGCCAAATCCGGAAAACACTAATGCTCAAGTTGCTTTATCAACAGAAGTTGAAAAACAACCAGAATCGGTGCCACACGCGAATCCTTTAGCCAACGAAGTGAACTCTGTTAATGTGGACACCTTTGAAATAATACCTCCACAGTTAGAAAATGATGTTGAAAATGTTCCAGAAATACAAAATCAAATCATGGAAATTTCGAATAAAGCCCCTTCCGATGAACTGGGTTCGTCTTCATCTTCGTCAAGCAATAATGAAGTGGATTCCCAAAGTGACCGAAATAGTGATGATGACACAATTGAGATATTTGCTGCCCAAAATACAAATGTGAATCAAGATGAATCTCATGTAGTATCTGATGCGGTCGATGCCACCACTGTAAAGCCAGTAAAACTAGAGCAGCCTGAACCGGAGGTTCAATTGCAAGATGATGCTATTACGATTATGGGGGAAAGCCATCCGGTCGGCCCGAACGAGGACCATCACGAAATCGAGGATGAAGAAATTATGCATCCGGACGACCAACACGGAAGTTCTGATGATTCCGCTAGCACGACCCAATCCTATTCTCACGATGAGACAGGGAATGACGATGAATTGGTACAAAAAGCTGTGGAATATACAACGGTCGCTTCAATCCAAGGAAATTCCGATGTTCAAAATCCCCAACATGACGACCAGGTTAATGATGATGTGTCTCAAATTTCTGACGCCACTACGGTCACCTCACTTGATGACGATGCGCAAAATGACATTCCTGCGACGACCTTGAACCCAATTGTCGAGAAAGCTCAAGTCCTAGCTTCAAGCGAAGAGATACACGCACCAGAATCTAAATTCAGACTGGATCTTTCCGCTTTTGACCATTCTGAGGAAAGCGGAAGTCATGAAATACAAATTCAATCGACCAGCAGTCCAACTGAACCGGAAGTTGTATTTGATGAAAGTCAGCAATTGCAAACTACACATTCTCCTCAAGTGGCCGAGGTTGATAAGCAAAGAGATGAAAGTGAAGACGATGCTGTGACTTCGGGCTCATTGAGCAGAGACGATATCGACGCACCTGTCACCACCACCCAAAAGTACCAAACAGGGGTCACTGATGATATTACTCCTTCACAAAATAATGATGACGTAGAAGGCATTAACAATTTCGAATTTGACGAAGTAGCTGCCACCACAATCAATCCAGTTGCCAGATCAGAATCCCTTGCTGAATCAGAGGCAGCTACCACAATTGTCCCATCACAGGATAAGCAACTTCGAAGCGATGAAATTGCTCCTACAACGACATCCTCAGTTGGTGAAATAGCAGCCAACAACGACTTTGTTGAAGTTTCAACCATTTCGCCATCCGGATTTGCCGCAGAATACAGAGAAGAATTGATCCGTGACGATGGCGAAACAACTCCTATTAGTTCAGCAGCCTTCAAATCTGAGACTATTCCAAATGACGAACCAGCAACAACCGTGGAGACACCAGTATTTGATGACGATGTCAAGTCGGATGATGGGGTCGACATTGTCACTACGATTTCCCCTCCTCCAAGCAATAAGGCCAAATCGGAACCTGTTGATGACTCCCCGACCACCGTGGGGTCCCAGATCAATAATGACGATGAATCTTTGAATGACGACGTCACTACGACAGCTCCCATTTTGACAAACGATACGACGAGTACTACTCCAAAAGTCACTAGAGTTATTTCCATTGACACGATGCTAATTCCTGAAAGAGGAGTGTCCATCCCATCCGTTTCAGACGATATTGTCAGAGTCAAGAGTGATCTCGGTCGCTCTGACTTGCAGGAAGAGAATGATTCTTGGTTAGTCCAAACTGCATTTAAAAACCGACAAATCCACGGCCTGTTCCCCTCTTCTCGAAGTCAGAAGCGTTTGTTCAGGTCCAGGTCCCCGAGGGATACTTTCCACGCAGGCAATGGATCTCGACAACCTTCTCCTCTCAAGACTATTTTCAAAAAGAATAAGAAAGTCACGTCGGGAGATCCGCCAAAAAAACTCTACTTTCCCAGCAGGAGCTTCATTTTCTAGCAATGGCCAATTAAAACTTAATTAATATTTCAGTCCACACATTATTCATCCACATCACAATTACTTACTCCGAGTGGTATCTCATTTTCATTACGGATTTCTAGTGATGATTATTAATTTTACAATAAGGTTCCCTTTAATTACGTACATTTGCAATATTAGTCAACAGGTTTTGTTGTAGTGCTAATATGTAGTAAAGAAAGTAATACGCATTTTGCCAAATTAAGATTAATGTGCGTGCAGTAAAACTGTCCAGAATGCTATGCAAAATGAAATTTGGGCTTCAGATTTATACAACTTGACCACAATTCACAGTGTGCTATATATAAATACATATGTATGGGTTGATATATGTAAATATAGGTTAAAAACTACTATATTGGTGACTCGTTGGGTTTACATAATCTATTAATAATATTATCTAAAGGGACGGACAGGATGGGATGGGACACTTTTTTGGTATTTATTACATAATGGCGACTGGTTTACAAATGCATTTGCTCGGTTGGTGGATACTTAACTAAATAACAGATACTTGCCTAACACTCAAGGATTTTGTACAGTTTAACGGTTTAACTTGTTCTTTTGGGAAATTAATTATGTTTACAGAATTACAGATCAACAAATGAAACATGGGGTCATACATCTTAAGAGCATCTTAATTGTAAACTTCTTGGTGACAAATACAATATGATGACTACAAATACAAAAATTTACAGTTTTAACTTACACTATGGAATGAAATTGACCAAAGAAAATAACAGAATACATTATTTCTCGGATTATTTATGACAACCTCTGCTGCAATTATTATTATAAAAAAGAAACCCAATAAATTTGATATACGTATTGTTGTTTAAAAATATGTCTGCTCCTGTATTCATTAAATTAATTCTTATAAGTGTTCTGCATCCCTGGCATGTTATTACAAATACGTATATATGATTCATATATGTACATGTTTCGCAGTAATTTGTGTTGTTAAACATTTCGACTGACACGCGTCTAACTTGTATCATCAATTCAGGGTACTTTATGTCATTCGTATTCGCCACTTTTTCACTTCAAATGAGCTGTGACCATTTGATAATATGCTAGGTATTTGTTACTCATGAATGTAATGAAACAATCGAAAAAGTGAGCATGATAAACATTGTATAAATAATGCATGCACAAAAAATATTTTTTGCTTCTCTATATTCTCCCCTGAAGAAGACAATAGTTAATTGTCGAAATATTGGGACAATAAATTGTTTTAAAAGTCAACCCACAATGTCCGTCTCAACTAATTTTAATTGTATAAATAGTTGTAGCAGATTAATTGGCACCTCTCGGAACGTATTAAATACTAGTTTTGTCACCAGTGTATCGGATTTTCATGGAGTGGGATCCCCTCTAATTCGGAAGTTCTTAAAGATTACGTGATAGATGCTGGCCAGGAAAACCCCGACGTTACATTGATGCTTCATGCTTCTTGGGATATGGTCACTCTAAATGCTGGTGGCGTTGGAAATTTAGATTACTTTCGTGACCTTAGATTAGATCAACTTCCACACCAGCCGTGAGAAAATGGATAATGCGACTATTAAAAGCTGTATTCGGAGAGTCATGTGAATAGCATGTTGATATAAAAATTTTAATAACTGAATTTTCAATATTTTATTAAATAAATATAATACAAGAAGGTACGTCTGTCTCGTCTGACAACACAAAGTTTAGTAGTACAAAGACCCCACTGGCTGTCTTCGTCGGTGGTGGTATGGATTCATCTGGTATTGACCTTCGTAAGATGGGTACCTTCCAATTGCGTCAACTTGGCTTTCCAAGCTTTGAATGACATCAAGTGGAATGGATCCTCCCAGTGCAGAGTTCAAGTCTGACTTCTCAAAAGGTTTTATGTGGTAATACGCAGCCTGCACAATTAATAAACAGTCGTTAATTAGTTGCAGAGATGATAGTAATTAGAAAACCAATATTAATTAACTCACCTGAATCCCTGGAGCAGTTTTATCAACCACAGCTTCTTGTGGTAGGAGATGCATAGTGTGAGCCTGTTTTACAACGTCATGCATGTAATACTGCTGCTGTTGCTGTTGTGGGGCTCCAGAGGTGCATAAAACCGCACCCATCAACACCAAACCAACCGAAGCTACACACTTTAATATCGACATGTTAACACAAAACAAAAGCGGAACGTGACAGAGAAGTAGCAAGTGACGCTGAGGGTAGCTCTGCACAGTAATTTATAGTTTTTCGTCACAGCCATTTAGAAAAAAATAGAGCAAAATTGATGCGTTGATTTCTATATTATTTAGAAATTATTAGCTTTGTGAGAACCCATGAATGGGAGAGTACTTACTAAATACGCACGGAAAGGACCTTTCCTTCCTTCCGTTTACCAACCCCCCATATTAAACTACTACATGTGTACACATGTACATATGCCAACGCTAATGTCATTGCTAGTAGTTAACGCGTTTTGAAAAGTAATTCGTGGCATTAGGCAATTACTAGAAATTCGTTGCTGATAACTTGCTGACTACTGTGAGTTCCACTTTTTTTTGTACCCAACCATTTTTCACGTTGACTCGCAATGTCAATAGATTCAATGCCAGAGGCAAACCTAACTCGACCAATTATTCAAGTTTTCTATCAGATCATGTAATCAGTTGTGAATTGAAAAATTTCCTGACTGAAAACTATCAAAAAGTTGAATGTCATGCAGTTATACAATAGTGCCGGATAGAAAGCTATGAAATTTCGAAACCATATTTATATGGGGGCAAACAATTTTGTACAATTATTATTACAGCGATAAAATGCATTACACTAATGCACTGGTTTACACTGCTGTACAAAAATTCCGTTAATGCACATATATTGCCCACTCGTGCAGTAAATTTTTTGTCAACGCTTCTCGTATGATATCAAAACCGGAGTTATACTTAATATGCGTACATTCGATATTATATTAGTTTCAACAAATTTTATGTTTTATGTGCACAAGATTAGGAATCTCAGATCAATAACTGAGTCTGAAAATATGAATTTTTCTACAGTACGTAAAACTATAATTCGACAAGGTTTAAGAACTGATGATTCTCAATGCAAATTAACATAATAATTACATATTAAATCTAGCTTCTATAATTAATCTGGAAGCTTCCATCTTTGTCTGCATCTGAATAAACCAGATAAAACTGCTCATATCGGAATCCCCGAAAGAAAGTTCACGGAAAAATCAGTAATTACCGAATTAATTTATTCAAAATGAATAATTAAAAATTGCACTGGAGCAGCAATTAACCAGGTTGATGAGTCATATCATAAATTCTTATGTATATAAGCACTTTTAATTTTGTGTATGTAGTACTAAATCAAACACAACTTTAGCGTATTGTTGCCAGCCCAGAAACAATGACACAACTCTTGTAGCAAGCGTGAAAAAAAACTTTTTCTAAACGCCTCGAAAAAGAATTCTGAGACGTGTTTCATTTCACGAGGAGTAAAAATTGTCCGGCAATATGTCGAGGTAAATTATTTTAGTCTCCCCCACATCCCATATTATCCTAACCCTCTCGCTCTCTCTCATCATAACAACCACACACATGCACAGACGTAACAAGCGTTCCTTTTGTATTCACCTTGGCATTGTCTTTGTTTCGTTGTGAAAAAAACATCAGCCAAATGTTACACACATGTTCCTTCCCAAGACGGAACACATCCTGTGTCTAACTTCCCTGAAGAAAGAAGCCATGTTCATGAATTTCGTGAAAACTGAAAAGTATTTCGTAATGCACATTCAAAGAATTTTCACCTCTATACGGTAAAGTAGTGCTGAATTAGGCAAATGCACAAATCCAGGCAGAAAAAGAATTAGGAAAAATAAACAATTTATGAAAACCAAAACGAGAATAAAATTTCAAAAATAAAATAAATCTGAGCACTATGAAATTAAAAGACGCATCTCTTTTTCTTGTAAGATTGGGTTACGTAGCTTTTGCGTGTGCTGTCTGCATGGTCTTGAGAATCTGAAGACAGAACAGTGAGGATGGGCCCGGTATTATTCATTGTTGTAATAAATGCACCTGAATGTCATGCCGAAGTCAGGTCTAAGTTTTCTTAGTCGGTTTGCAGCTTTGGTCAGATTCACACCACTCTGATTTCCAAATGGAAATTCATTTCTCACGTCTTCATTTCACAACAACAACTTTTAATAGGAATTGACTCCTTATTCTCATTGCGTCCAAGATATACATTATTTTACAAGGAATCTCAATCATAACCACACTTACATAATCCCAAGAAGAAGAAGCCGTGTCCTTCAAACGAGTTGATTTCTCTTGTTTTTGTAGAAAATGTAAATTCTCATAAATTAATTGGTGACTGTGTTTAATCGCGAATATGCAACTTCTCGACTGAATTTATATTAAGTTTCACGAGTGTTTTCTCCAAGTGATTGTTTGAGAATCTCAAAATGCGAGTTAAACGTGGACCCGAACGCTACAAAATCATCGGCGTCGGGATCTTTTCCTCTTTTGTGGGGATGTTGGGATTCATACTGGATGTTGGTGCAGGTAATAATACTTAATATTAAATTTCACAAGCATATCGTGTACCAAGTGAGACTGGTGAGCAGTCTGACCAGTCAATGCATGCATACACATTACCCGTATAGTAGTAGTGGTAGTAATGTGGATGGCATTAATGTGCACTTACTGCTGTAAAATATGGAGCATTTAATTGATTCACAGATTAAGAGCTTAGCAAAATGACAATGGAGTTGACAATCCTGTTTAAGCGTCATTTTGCGAAAGAATATACGGCTAAAAATTTATGAATATTTTGTATGCATCTAGGAATTTAAATGCTTAATAGACATTCTTTAATCTCACCTATCTGCTGAGAATTTCATGTCAATATACCATCAGACAATGTCAAGTTCATCATATTCTTATAACGTTATTATGTTGCACCACAAGCCAAGTCCAGTTTAGCTTTTCTTCCTTTCCTTCTTTCGTTGTGCAATAACATGCACTTATCTTGAGTAATCTCAAGAATGTGTATAATTTAACTAGAACGCAATTCTAAATTACTTTATCAAATGCAAATGGTCTTGATTGCTGGCCTTAGGATTACAAATTGTACACTGCGTAACATTCGATTATTTGAAGTCGAAACTGATTGCATTATTGAGCCTTTGATTTGAATGTCTGCTTTATTATGATTTACGTCCCTGCTCTGTTATTGTTCATCCGTTTTGATCAACATTTTTTCGACAATGTGAAACAAACGTAAAACGGAATTATTGCAACACGTTCGACATTCTTCATATTTGGACCATCAATAAAGGTGTATTTGATTCCGGAAAGACCAAATTTCATGAACCTGTCAAGAACTCCCGGAGATTTCAAAGAAAATGTATTCATCAGAGAGAATATGCAACCCGGGAGGCTTGTTCTTCGAATTGGATCATAATATCAAACAATAACCCTGGTTTGTGGTACTCATTGTCAGTACATAGAAGTAATTGAGTACGGATATTATGTATATTGAGTACTCAGATTAAAACTATCTCACTAAAAAAATTATCAAAAAATCTCATGTTGATTCTGGTTTACATAAATTTAATATGCAAAGTTATGTAAGAAACTCCAGCAGGGCAACGTTTCTTCAACGACCACGAACTATTAACTAAATATTGAGAATTCCTGAAGCATTTTTTAAAAATTTTACTCGGAACGCCCGGAATATTTGGTAACGAATATCTCATTACTTTGAGACATACCCCAGCTAGAACCTTTGGATGATACTTTAACGTGTCGCTTGGCCACTTTTTTACGCTGAAGTCACGTTGAAATAAGGTTAACCACGTGGTTCTAACGTAACTTCAACGAAATTGTGCGACGTTAAAATTACGTTAGCATTTAACGTTGAGGCAACGTAAAAACACCTACTTATAACGCTACACCAGCGTTATTCCAACCTGAAAAAAGCGGACAAGCCATACGTTGAATTAACGACACTTTTAGGCCATAAGACGTTAATATAGGCATCGTTGATTTAACGTTTCGGTTCTACTTGGGACCTTTAGTTTTAGTTACTTATTTCCCGTAGATTTTGTACTCTCCTACAGGTCGTTTAAAACTTGCTGAAATCTGAATATTTTTATCGCCCCTCGTAACAAGCGTGGTATGGGATCGATTCATTCCCTCCTTGCACGATGGCACGATACTTTGCGATATTAAGCAAATTTTCATGTACTCACGTACTTTTTCATTGTATCGGAATAAAGCAATCAGATAGTCTAATTTTTCACCATGCGAAAAGCGACAAGGGAGAATTGTGTGTGTGCAACGACGACAATGTAAAGAATCGACAATGAAAATACAAGATGCATGGATCGGATGAGGGAGCAATGATCTTGTTCAATTCAATCCCTGTTAAACGAGGTGTTCTCAAAAAATTAATCAACTTACAATGACCAATGGTTCCATCCGATTGAAGTCAAATCTATCAGGAGTATGAGAACCAACTTCCGTCTCCTCAATATGATGATGATGATGATGAGAAAAGCCAGCAAATAATAAAAAACTCATTTCATATTGCTCTACAAGTCAGCAACCAAGCATAAAAAATGACCAGAGCATCTCAGTTTCCCTGCAAAAATTTGCAAATGCAAAAATGAGTAGACAATTTGCTACCGGGTGCAAATTCTATGATATGCTGATATGAATACGCAACATTATATTTTAGTCCCTGTATGTTCGAGAATGTGCCACAGTAGTAAAAGTAATGTCGGTTAACGAGCAAAAAATTTAAAGTATTAGCTCTGGGCGACCAATATAGTAAATTGTGGAGTTGGTGGTAAATGTCATGTTCCCAGGATATTGGTGGCCTTAAACTTGAGTATGGTCACCACCACATACCACCACCACCCATGTTGACCAGGCTTGTTAAGTAATTCCCTACGAGTATTAAGTGGCGGTGGTGGTAAATAGCTGCTTCTTCTTGGGGCTCATGCTGTCTTTACGACTTTGTATTCTAAATAATGGATTTTGGTTCACTTGCTTTCTACCGTTTTCCGTCAATTTTACCACAAAGATTTTTGGCAGGCAGAGCAAAGCCTAATTCCTTCAACCATCTCCAAACCACAAAGTGGACCACACCTTTAACCCAGCTCGAATCAAATGGCTTGAAATTACGCTGAACTTTTACTAAAGACCATACTTCCAAAACAAGTGCAAAATCTAAAAAGCCACCCACAACGCCTTTACCAAAGGCTTAAGTTTATTGTTCGCTTGTTGTAAAAAAACTTGTAGTTTTTTATTTCCGTAATGATCTACAATAACCATCCAGTAGTCGATTGTATTTCTCTTGTTGTCAAACAGTGATTATGTATCTGCGTTTCTGAAATTCATCATGGTTTTGTATTTGTTATTAAAATGGAAGGGCTGTAAAAGTCGATCTTTTATGTCAATTGTTATGATCAGTAAAATATTTTAATGCTTTTTAACAGTTCCGTTAAACGTGATAAACATTGAGGCTCTCGAAGGAGTCCCAAGAATGCGGGCGGACTATGGATTCTACGCGGCGGATAACCAAAGCTCGTTTAAAGGGGACAGCTACTTGGACCTCATGGTGTCAAATGTGAAACCCAGGTCGACAAATGCCCTCCAACGTTCAGGTGAGCAACGTACATTTTTCCATCGCAGTTGGTAGACTTGATTTTATAATAAGATGAGTACATAAATTGAGAATTTGGCACAACCGAAAATTGAGAATTTATACAAACTTCATGGTAATGTGAGTACCACAAATAGCGAGCCTGGGTTTTGGCCAACGCAAACAACTAGCGCATTGTAAATTCGAGGAAGGAACTTGATTCTTCTGTCTTGTAATAACAACAATAAATACCGCATTCAGTTCAAGGAATAAAAAAAGCTAACAGAGACATAAAGCGAGGAAGATTCATTCTCTAATAAATGAATGCACGAGACGAATGAAAAATGATATGGGGAAGTTAAATGGGACGATGAGTTACACAAACAGCTATATTGGTGACAAGTCTCTAGTTTTTTTATATTCACATTTTAGTCTGTGGAATTTTTGGCTTTTTTTAAGTCTAAATATTTACATACACGGTCACCCAAAAAGAAAATAATTTGAACAATGCGAATTTTTTAGAAATAATAAATAAACAAGCTCTAAAAAAATTTACGAGTTAAACAACCTACATAAACAAATGATTCTCAAAAATCGCCATTAATAATTTGCTTTTCTTATTTGAATTAAACATATTTATGCAGACTTTATGCTAACACGCCTTCTGGCATTTCCTACACTAATGTACCACGTAGAATGGAGAAATATTATTTCGTGCAAGCTAACTAAGTTATCAATGACCTCAGTTAATTACTTAAAACTTTTCACGGATTGATGAGAAAATAGCTAGAAGCAATTCTCATCATCCGGTCATCTAAACTCCGAATTGAATTGAATTGTATGCGTGCAGGCAATTAGTCCTGTCCCAGAGTAGAAAAAAATATAATTTGCAACGGGATTCTATAAAATTCGAATCTTTATGCTATTTACAGACACACAGATAAAAAAGAATGGCACATTGTTTCGGTGTCGTCCTCATATATGTACCTATGCATATGCACGCATCTCAATTCATTCATTCATGCCATAGCTGCATACGTACGTATGTAGATAATCATAATAGTGTGCTTTTAACGAGTTGGAAATGTCAATGGATAAATTATTAACACTTTAAAAAAACTTGTGATGCAAATCCTTATTTGTATATGCGCTCAGAATTTAAACTTAATTAAGCGAGCATCTCTTTCTTTCTTGCAGCTTGGTTAGTGTAAGGTCTCAAAATTAGAATTGTATGCTGATGGCTTACTGTACATTTTAATACGCTTTTTTTGTTCAGTTTACTCTTTAACTGTCTTGCATTTCAAAGTGACCAGATTTGATAACCATGATATGAGAGTCAAGTGTGGAAAGCATACGGGATACCTACACGCAAAAATGTATGGATGTGTTTCTTGCACATTGATTTACTATAGTTTAATTGGCCATGCCTGTACCAGCGAATAAAACCCGTTTCCACTTAGCAAACAAACTGAATTATTCATCGTATCATTAGTTTTAAACTTGACATAATCTTAAAACTAGATCACGTATGCGCAGAAAAAACAGAGTGACGGTTCAGGTTCATCCTGTCACAAATAAATAAATAATTCGACATGGAGACAAAAGAATGTCAGCAAAAAATAGTCTTGTTAATGCAAAAACGGAAAAGTCATAATTTAAACCAACCCACAATTTGATCTCGCCTGCTTGTAGGCTGGATTAATAAATATATCAGGAAATGAAAATGTCAAATCGAGTCTTATTTCTGAACAATAATTCCCCTTCACACACGCCTATTCAATTTTGCTGAGAAATGTTTCCTTTAAAAAGTATGCATGTGCGTGATCCATTTGGAGAAGCTTAAAAATCGCATTCAAGAACGAACTGGGTTAATATCTTCCTACAAATATCCTTGGAAATATAATTACCCTTGAACTTGCAACACATTTCTTGCCGTGAGTATTTAGTAGCGCAACACACTAATATGAGAACGTCAACTATTCTTTGTGAAAATACTTTTACAGAATATACGTAATGCATACAGGAATTAGATCCTAAACTATTCGGTCAGAGTCTTATTCCCACAAAACTTAAGGTTCCAAGTATTTAGTAGGTTGAAATTTCCACCAAAGACCCGTTAATTTATTTTAAAATTCTTCATTAGAACTCTCACACTTGAGGTTACGATTACTCATGGTTAGGACTGACTTGAAAAACTTTGAATTCAATGTTAGCTATGAAACCACGCTGAAATAATATGTATGCTGCACTGCTTGCGTAATTGACAATTTTCAGTCTTTGTTTGTTGACTTGCATAACACTGCATGTATACTCGATCACATCATCAAATTCAATTACTGCAAAAAGAATTGCTAGTGGTGATGCATAACTAGTGAAGGTATTCCAATAAGTAGAGAAACAAACAACATTCGTGGGAACTAACTTTGTCTGCATGGTCTTCTTGACGTCCTTAAAGTTTGTGTTGATGCCCGTTTTCTACACGAACAGTGACGATGAGAGGAGAAAAATGTGCATTTAAACGAAATATGAGACGATGGTTGATAATTTAATATTTCCACAAAACGTGTATAATTTCAAGCAGTCCTTTAATATACGTGATTTTTATTTATTTATGTTACAGGATGTCGATACAAAGCCACCATTTATGCCTCGGGGGACAATGTCCCTACCGAAGAATCGTGCCTCTTTTGTCACTGTAAAGGATCCATTGTGGTTTGCAAGCTAAGGGTGTGTCCCGAAGTCCCAGACCCACCCCCACCTGGCTGCATTGTTGTGCAGAAAGCCAACAAATGCTGTTCTCAACTAGTTTGTTATGGTATGAAAACCAATATAATTTATACAGTATTTTATTTTCGACGTAATTAAATTCAAGTTGAGACACCCATGGCTGGACCGTTATATAACACTGCAACATGCATACAATATTGATACCATCACATCGTCACACTATTATCGTCAATTAAGATCAAGTTATTCAACCATTCCTAGCAGGTTCTTAAAAATAACCTATTGAGGAAAACAGCAGGGATAATAAATCTCAAGTCTCGTGGGAACTGCACACTCCAAGAAACTGGTCCAATTGTTAGATCACCCACTGACTAACTACATTCTGATATTACATTGTTGTGGTAAATTTACAAGAAATGCACTCTGTGCAGATTTTTTACTCTAGAATTTTTATGCTATTAAATTTCAGCCCAGAATATTTCATACATTTCCGATTGTGAGTCAGTGTAATAGTTGGACCGCGTGCTTTCCGTCTGTCATTAGGTTACACACTGTCATCAGTCGTCATAAATTCATTAGGTTTTACACATGGGACTACGTATGTAGTCATAAATTTACGAGTTCCTCATAGTCAGTCGGTCACATCAGCCTTTTCACAAATCCGAACACTGGGTGGGTATCATCCCTTTCATTCCGAATAAGTACATACGGATTTGCGTATATGTAGATATTGCATAGGTACGTATGGACGTGTGCATGAGCCAAGTAGAAACCATTGTGCGGCATCATTATAATTTCATTGTGGGATAATTGGTTGGAGGATGTTTAAAATCTATTGACTAAAAGACAGTTAGTTTGAACTTTACGAGTATGTACATAATGCAGACAAACTTCTCGATGAGTTGTAGCGACTCGCTTGCATTTTCAATTTAACCTGAACGATTTGTGTGACTGTTCGTTGTCAGTTGTCAGTACAAATGTTGAATGGAGTATAAGAATCACCGGATGGGAACAGTTCATTTCTTGCTGCATTTCCATCAACACTTGTCGTCTTCGCCCATGGATTTAGCGTCACTCATTGTGGGTCATTCTTCACGTTGTGTATGGTCTTCTTCCTCCAATTGTGAAATGAATAAGACCCCAGAGCACATTACAGCTACCAAAATTCTACAGATTCGTAAAACGCATCTGTTTACTCTCTCGCGAATGTATGTTCTTGAACTTGAAAGTCATCATTTCTAACAGAAAGTAAAACCTGAAACTGCAGCATGATCAAAATTAATACTTATTTCGTGGATGAATTTTTCACACTTGACAGAAATTACCAGATATATGTGAGTTTTGAACTATGAGATTTATGGTATTTTGCTGCATAGAGAGAAATGACTCTTGCTAACCAGTCAATACCAGAGAGAGGTGCCGTTCCAAGTTATGTATGTTTCATTCATAATGTGCGATGAACATGTTCAAAAAGACTGCTGCTGGGGTCGACCTTATGAGCTTGTAGAAATTCTGGGATTATTAAGTTGTCAGAAATGATGATTATTTTTCCCTCATTTTCAGCATAGCATACTGGGAAATAATCAAGTTTGTATTACAGACGTCGGCGGACAGGGTACCTACGTCGATTAGTGCTATATCCCAATAATTAGCAACATTAGTGGGAAAGGGTGTTATATAATGATATGGTTCGACTGCTTGAAATAGTGTGTAATGCTAATGATTCCACGTAATGATAAAAGATAACCTGTTGTTACTGAGCAATTTTATTGTGTCAGAAAGTGAACAATACAATTTTTACAAACAATATTCTCTAATTTGACCATTGACACCTTTTGACCATGGTAAAATCGTACTGATGAAAAAATAAATGTACTACAGATATTTTTACAAGTTAAGAAATTTATACGGAACACGGAAATATCATTCGCCGATCTTATTGTTTAATCCACAGACAATCAAATTCGGAAGTTGGCGAGGGAGCAGAGATTGTCCGAGTCGAATGCGACGGAAACGCTGCCGTCGTCTGCCCTTCAATCATTGGAACGAGGTATGTTTGTACCAATAAATATCCATCCCCCATATTTACTCTTTGTCAATTCGAAATCATAAAATTGCAAAATTCTCAGTAGACCCATATAAATACTCTCCGACTTGTAGCGTAAAAGATTTTATAGTTTAGAGAATCTGTGCAAAGATTAGATTGTTTCGCCACTTATTCACGATTGTTGTGCTACGTCAAAGTGTGAACAAGAGTCATTCAGTGCGTGTAAGTTCGAGACCCTCAAGAAAAACAAGTCTGTTGGACATTCTTTTCCACTTCCGTAAATCATGCAAGATGCGGTGCGTCCGTGTATAGGGTTGCTTTGATCTGCGGTTTCAAGTGTCATATTTCTGCTTGCTCACTCTATCTCATACAGGTTTACGTATGATTTTAATCACTCTGTGTAATCAAGACTAGGTGTGCAAATGAACAAGTTGCTAGACGCTGTTAGTTTTTTTGCGTTTTTTTTGTCGATTTTTGGTATGAGATGGATGAAATGAAACGCTTACACAGACTATATCCATACATAAGTAAATAAATATATGCATGTGCAGACATATTTTTTGCCGACCAGGTCGCATTTCCTCTGTACACACGATATTATGACCAACAGTACTTTGAGAAATTCTGGCATTTTTAACTATCAAATGTCTTCCTAAAAAAACCTCACGTATGGGTTGACAACTGATATGGAGCTAGATTGAAATGTTTGCTTTTTACCATGACGGACCGATGAAACGTAAGGAAAAGTTGGAAGGAGATAAATAATAAAATGAAGACGTTGAAAATGGAAAACGGCAGGTGGGCATGTGTAGACGGGCAGAATGTAGAAAAAGAATTGCTTTGTTGCAATGAAACGGTTTCACATTGTCTTTTGAGAGGCAGGTAAAGTATCAAGTGTTTTATGACGCTAAACTCTTTGAAGTCTATAAACTTGATTAATGTTTGCACTTGGAGGAAGTAATGATTTGCAAATAAATAGTGCCTAAACTAAGTGCTACAAATTATTTATACGGTATACACATAAAATATAGAGATCTACATTCTTACATGAGAATGTGTACCTTGAGTGATATCCAGCAGGCACAGATATGTAATTTGTATTAGTTTAACCGTAATTTTACTCGTCACGCAATCACATTGAGTGAAATCGAGTTCAACCCTGGTAAATATTGTGTAATACCCATTGTCATAATTTGGACCCAAATGTTTTACAGCAAACTCTTGCGTTCACGAGGGCACCGTCTATGCGGAGGGGTCAGCAATGAGGTCATCCACATTATGCGAGCATTGTTTCTGCATCCACGGGAAGATGAAGTGCAGCAGCCCCCAGTGTCTCATCCCGATGAATGGATGCAAACCTCGCTACCGGTCGTACGCGTGTTGTCCAACAAATTATGACTGCAGTAAGTTAATACCTAAGAATTTTAACCAAATAATGATTTAATGAGAAATTTTCCCTGAATCTTGCCAGATAAGTCCAACCAAACCGCAATTCTAAAGACGATCCCAAGTTCTACGCAAGTGCCAAACTTCCTCAAAGGATGCACCGTTGGAGGACGCTATGTTCCAGAGGGCGACCCAATTCTGCCCATGCAGTTGGCCATCGAACATTACAATAATAGTTTAGGCCCTGGATCAAGCAGTCGTTGTCAAACATGTTTTTGCATGGGAGGAGTTGTCCATTGTCGACGACTCGCGTGTGACCGACCCATCGAGGGGTGTCGTCCCATAATCGAAGATGGTCATTGTTGTCCAGACAGGTGATAACCAATGCTTTGTCCTAACATTTTCTGCACTTATATCTATTCCATTAGTAAATAAGTATATAAATAATTGCATTTATTTATTCCATGTATTTAATTTTGTACAAGTTTCCTTCAGAATCTCAATTTTGACCTATTTGATATAGATACGAGTGTGAGAAACCAGTCATTACGAAGGAAGATGAAGACACCAGTGATGAAACCAGCACGGATATTGTTCGAGACGAGGTTGAGACGACAATCGCCACTACGTCATATCCAGAAACGACTTCCACGCAGGTTTATGAAATTCGATTTGAAAAAGTTCCACTGTTCAAAGCCAGGAAAGATGACCAAGATTCGGTTGACGTAACCACGACAGGGAATAATGCTGGGCCATACATGGTAAGACATTTATCATTTATACATGTAACTTAACTTCCCTTTGGTAAGTTTCGAATATATTATTTCACAACATTGACATTTTGTAGAACAATAAGGAACCTCGAATAACTTACAATTCAGTGGGAGGATTCAAGAACAGGGGCAGCGCAGTTGGGGACAGAGGAAGTCGTGAACAGCGAAGGAAGAACAAGGAACGAAATGAATTTCTTCCGAGAAGTTTTTATGACGATGATGCACGGGAGGACACTTCACTCAGTTTTGAAGGCAGTAACGGACGTTCTGATGAACATGCCAGTGTATTTTTTGAAGGTACATAAATCGACCATAATTAATACACGAAAAATCTTGCGGTTTAGTAAATTTTCAACTCGTTCGTAGAAAAATCTGATGGCTCAACATCCGCGGATGATGAAGAACTCCCGACCTCTGAGACGGACCCAAGCGTTATTGTGACTGAAATTAGTGAAATCAAGACAGATCTTCCTTCCCCCAACGATACCTTGGATACTTCAACATTGACATTTACTGAAGCTGACATCATTCCTAAAAATGTCGAACCAACAGCGACAGAACTTTCGAATGACCAAATCAACATGAAACTTGTACTTGAGGATGATGAAGCTGAAGCTGAAGATATCGTGCCATTGACACTGACCAACGATCTAAAACTTGAACCAGAAATCAAGACAACGTTAAAACCAGAACTAATTGTGAGTTCAGCGTCACCCCCACCAGAATTTTCTTCTTCGTCCACCGTAACACCAACGCCCACACCAAAATCATCCACCACGCCAGCATCTTCCTCTACTACACCAATTCCCATCACATCTACGTCTGAGACTAACTCTGGGAAACTGGAGTTCATTTCATTTGGGATGGAAGATGCTTTTTCTCCCGTCAACGAAACACGGTACGAAATTTATCCGGGACAAGCGGTGTCTCTCCCAATGCCGACGTATAACCTTGCCGCACGTCAGGGAAGCCTCCTCCCAGCAGACCCACAGCAACACAAAGAAATTCCCACACCAAACAAAACTCAGTCCACTGGGGTCAATAATAACACCTCGCGACCAATATCACTCGCGGAGCCATCAACCCAGGTAAAATTTCACGCTGCTCCCCCAGAGGAAGTGGAAACTATATCATTGCCAATACCAAACTTGGAACCAGCTCAAGAACCACTTTTATTTGTTCAGGATGATTTGCGCAATACGATAATGGACGTTCCTGTCCAAACCAGTCTTTACAATAACGGATACTATGGACAAGGAGCGATCGGGGACGATAGTGGTAAAGACATCGAACTCGTGATAACCCAAGCTGAGATGAGTAATAAGCCGGTAGAAGAAGGTGTCAATTCTGGTGAAAATATTGGTCTAGGTGAAGCAATCCCGTCGCATAATGCCATTATCACGACTACCATGCCATCAATTCCAGTGACGTCGACGACCACGACAAAACCAAAGCCGCACAAATCTCAAGTTTCCAGCAGCAGCAGCAAAAGACCTGAACAACCCTTGACAGTCATCAGTTCTAATCAGAAATTCATCCCCTCTTTCCTCCCAATGACGACATCGCCTCCCAACCCTGGCCGCACCTACTCCAAATTTGGTATTCAAGACTCATCCCACAGATACGGCTATCCAAGCACTGGACCAGCAGCACAAACTGGTCCAGAAGACGAGGACAGGCTATTCGTCCCCTCTTCTGCTTTCGGTTTCCCCGCAGATCCCAATTTGATGAATCGAAAAGTTCCTAGTTTTAATGAGGATCCCGTCAACCGGCGGTTCAACAGTAATAACAACAACAATAATAATCATGCATTTAATCACCACCGATTCCCTGTTGATCCCATCCTCACTGAAGAAGGTGAGGACGACGACGAGGAGACCAATGACAACGGAAGTGAAGAGTTTGGAAGCTATGAAAATTATTTCACTCCACAAACTGCACCCAGCAGTGTTGCGAGCATACGACCACTCAACGGTCCGCCCTACAATCCGAGCACTTCCTCATTCAGCAATAGGTACGGAACGCCATCCGGGTCAAACTCGAGTCCACCACATTCCTCCGTCCCACAACAAGAACCCAGCGCTCCAATCCCAATGATAAGCAGCAGTGGGACCAAAGTCAGTCTGAGTTCGAGGGACAAAACGACACAAGGACCAGGTGGTCCCAAAACGAAATTTGTTAACAGCAAACCCCTCCGAAGACCAAAACCTGTCAAAGATCCGCAGCTTCTCGACTCCAGTGATCCTTTGGGGTTCAAACCCGTCGTCGCATTTCCATTTGCCATTCCACAGTCACAGGACAAGTTCAATCTGGGGTTGAAGTTGAGTGGGTGCAATATTTATGGGAAAATGCATGGCATTGGGCAAATTATTCACGAGTTGTCCAGCATTTGTGTCCAGTGCAAGTGTACGGAGGTGGGGGTTCAATGTTCAGAGTTGCAGTGCTAAAGTATAGATTTTTGCAGTTTCTTTTCAAATATATCCATGATCCATGATCTCTTCCACTATTTCTGTCGGGTTAAGATAATGCTATATTGGATTTAGGTGTAGGTTATCAAGGGGAAATTAACTTATGGTATTGGTAACTTGCGGGGTTCTTCTTGTTATTATTTTTTCAGGAAATTAAAATGTTCATTATTATTGTTGAGGGGTATTTATGTATGAGACATTATATATTATATTTATATGTGTACAGTTGGAAATGGGGAAAACCAAGTATAATATTAATATGGGAAATATCTATACAAATATTGTGTATAATAATAAATAAATGAATGCATGCAAATTTTTTCAAACTTGGATAAAATGGATTGCATATTATACTTTATTATTTCATCAAAGTATGAAGTAAAGCTTAAAATGTAGGTGAATGGAACGATGTGACATTCATCATTTTAAAATTTCAAGTTCATATTTTGGAAGAATCACATAAATTTAATTTCCATGCATCATCAATACCCGAGTGGCACATTATTCATTATACAGATCTTAATTCGAATTTCGTCATTTGTGTCTAAAACATCATAAAATGATTGCCGAAAGTTGGCAATGTAATCGCATGTATAAAGGTCGTAATGGTGGCGAGTAACGCGTACAACTTATGGATTCAGATAAAAATACAGTCAATGTTCTCAGGAAGACTCAACTTAAAAAGATTCAATGACGTGCACTAGCAGAAAAGATGATGCTTATTACACCGCAAATCTGCTTTTTAACATCTTCACATATCTGCATGCGTAAAAAATCACAGTCAATTTGCTTAAAATACGTTGTAATGTTTACGTTGAAGAAGAGCACCCAACATTATAAAACTAAACAATATGTATATAATTGCAGTAGCAAAGTATGAAATGTTGATTTTGTTTTGTTAAATTTTATCAAGAAAATTGATACTTTTCAAACGAAAAAAGTACATGATCATGAATTATAAGAATAAAACTACTAGGAATGACATTCAAAATCCTATAGACTTGTACATACAAATATATATTTAAATGCAAGAGATTCTAAAATAAAATTCCAGCCAATTGATTCAACAATTGAATGGGAAACGTAAAATGTATAGAGTAATTTTTTTAATATTCAGGAAAAAACTAGCACAAATTCACTTAGTGAGTTCCTTGAGAATTCACAACAGGAGGTTGTGGTTGACCTTGTTGAGTGGCAGTTCCTTGTGGGGGTTGTTGTTCAACAGCATGGTTGTTCACACCGGTGTCTTGAGAATGTGGCACAGCATCGTTGGACGAAGGAGGATGTTGAACATTTTGAACGGGAGGTTGAGGCTGATGTTGAATTTGCGGTGCATTCTGATATTGTTGTTGTTGACCTTGGTATTGTGGAGGGTGTTGTTGTTGCTGCTGTGGTGGAAGTTGTTGTTGTTGGTAGTGTTGTTGGTCAGCAGGGGCATGATATCCTTGACCTTGATAATGTTGTTGAGGAACAGCGTTAGGATGCACACCAGGAGGCGCCTAAAAGATTGGTTAATTATGAATGGTTTCCAGTAAAATACCTATGCTGATTTATTGCAACGACTAATAAATGAAAATATGAACTTCTAAAAGCATTTATAAGGCAGCACACAATTTTCAAACACATTTCCTAGATAGAAATCTCAATACATTGCAAAAGCGACAAATATTTTCGGAATCATACGTGATATCCTTGCTGTTGCTGTGGATGATGTCCTTGAATTTGAGGATCATGTTGTCCCTGTATTTGTGGATGATGACCCGCTTGCATCTGTTGAGGATGACCCTGCATTTGTTGTGGATGGTGACCTCCTTGCAACTGTTGAGGATGATGACCTTGCATTTGTTGAGGATGGCCTTGCATTTGCTGTGGATGGTGGCCCTGCACCTGCTGTGGATGATGACCTTGCATCTGTTGTGGGTGACCTTGATATGGTTGTTGGTGATGTCCTTGAAATTGTCCTTGTTGATGATGACCCTGTGGTTGCCCGTGTTGAGGATGAACTTCGTAACCTGGTGGTACCTGTGCCTGTGCGCCCGGAAGAATCATTGGGACATATCCTGGCGGGGCCGAAGGTATCTTTATATTAGGCAAGACGCAAAACAAAAAACAAAAACAACAAAAAACAATATGAATCATGAAATGGCGTGCCATTCATATTTACACAAAATAGAAAGCAACCCCGCGACCCCAACATATTTACAAGGCGAATGACGTTGTTCTTGTTTGTTAGTGACGTTTTGCCATAGATAAAAAGACGCAGTTGTAGCGAGCTACTACAAATTATATGACTTTACCAATCCTTGGTCCATCATTCGGCGAATTTCTTCTTCGTGCTGTTTAGCATATTGCTTGTATTCATCCTCAGAATACACTGGATGATTCTGTGATTGAGGGTCAATTGGATCCCATCCTTCATCTTGTTGAAACTCTTGTCGTTTTGTTTGGTCAAGAAACTCTTGATAACTGTAACAGCAAAATCGTTGTCATTAAGTAATAGTAAATACACCTGCATGAATCAAAATTTTATTCTACCTGATAAGCTGGTCTCTGTTGGTGTCGGTTTCATTAAAAACATGTTCTCTCATACGTTCCATCTCCTCAACTCTTTCCCTGACATCATCTTCGGGAGCATTTGGGTCGTACATTTTGTCCAATTCTTTCTTAAACAAGGCTTTGACTTCATTAGCGTCCCACACTCCATTTCCATCTAAATCGTGAAGATGAAAGAACGTCTTTGGGTTAAAATCCTCCGGACTGAGGTGATCTGTAATCAACAAATGCACGAGTCAATTTGGCATGCATAACGATCAAGCACCTCTCAATGATACACGCAACATAAGATAACATTTAACATTTGCTGCTAAGAACACTTTACCTTGTTCTTCCCAGACTTGTTCCAACTGCTGTTTACTTCCTGGATGGTGAAGTGGTTTATGTTCCTATATTATGTAGTTGTTAAAATTGGATAAGTAATTAAGCAACACTTGCAAGGACTGTGTCGAGTAAGAACCTACCCTATGTTTTTCCTGCTGTTGTTTATGAAACTTTTCTGCTTCAGCTCGATTTTTTTCGTCCATTCGCTTAAGTTGTTCCTCATACTGCAACTCTTTTTTCATTTCATATTCCTTAAATTCGTCCTTTCTTTGCTTATCGACATCCTCCAATTCTCTGGTCGTCTAGCAAGGTGTGAGTATACGATTACGTTACAAATAATTATGTAAAACATATAATGGATTGTTAGATACCGCAGTCATAGTATAAATCAATTACTTGAACAATTAGCTTTTTCAAATCCTCAGCTTCGAACGTGTGAGGATTGTCATGGTCCACATGAGAGGGCATTTTCATATGCTTTGTATCAATCCCGTTGGATTGTTCGTAATTCCGGATGGCAGCCTGCCTCAGTCTTTCCAACTCTTGTCTCTTCAATTCATCCAACTTTGAGCGAACATTATGATTGACAAATTCAAGGTCGTTGGAAATTTTTCCAGACTAAATATCAGAAAAACATAAATTCAATTATAACCAACTCATCACGCAAGTCGTTTTGACTTTCTTACTTTAATATCTTCAGGGTCAGCCTTCATTAACCGTTGTCTAAAATCATCGTCACTTTCCAAAACACTCACAACTTCTTGTAAATAGCGTTTGTACTCCACGTCGAACACCTAAAAGTCCACATATTTTTAAAAGATTGTTACATATATCAACTTAATAACAAGACATGTTGGTAAAAATTTCTCACTTGTTGATCAATTTCGTTAGTTTCCCCATGTTCCTTATCTTTCTTCTTCTTTTTCTCATTCACAGGAGGGGCCACACATCCGTAGATGTAAAGACAAAGAATGAAACCGACTAGAATCTTCATTTTTCTGAAATTAAATCACCATTTTAAAATTTGTATTACATCACATTTGGAGGTCGAGGCGCCATAATATTTTATTTCAACTCGACTACTCGACACTGAAATTACTTCTTACGATTAGTAGTAACCTAATTAGATAAGTAGCTTCCTACCAGTAGAAATACACCAGAACCCTTACTTACTATTCGAATTCGACACCCCCTCCCTGGTCAACTCCAATTAAAAAAATATACCAACTAAATTAAATTAAATGTGGCACTTTTTGAGCAAATAATCAGCACAACTTGAATTTAGCTCTTCAACTCTGCTTTCACTAAATTATAACATAAAAAACCATTGCAGTATCCAATCTACAATCTCCTCAACATGTAACATGCCTACGAATGAATGCCTAACTGTAAACAATTAATAGTTGCTCAAACCACTACTAGTCCACCACCACAACAATCGCCTACTCATGAAAACTGGCTCACCTTTAACGTTAACAATCAACATTAACTATTCATTTGTTCGGAAATGAAATGACTATCAGAATTGTATTACAAAATTTCACTCACCTGATAAAAGATTGTGCCTCCTGCTAGAGTGGAGTTTCTCACAATCTGGATAAAATCGGGAGGAATGTGTTTGTCCAGCCGGACTTGGGAAAGTAATCTCAGGAGACTGAGGTGCAATTGGGGCTGTGGGTGGACTATACTAATTTACCTATGAAGATAAAGTGGTTTTGGTGATGGTGGTCCGTCCAGGAAAGGGTAGTGGAGATGATGAGTTGTTATTACAAGAAAATTTTTAGCTGACGTAGATTTAGCAACATTTTCATCTCTACCTCCAAATGTGCAGAGAGAGCGAGCGAGCAGAGTGAGATTCTATTCCTCGACATTCATTTTTAATGAAACGAGTCGACAGGCTTTTGCATAAAATATCCTTTTTTGCTGGATGATATCAAAATCAACCAGGACATGGGATCACAATTAAAGCGTAAAGAATCCCTTTGTTAGAAATGCATAGCAAATGTTTGCACAGGTTTAAGCTAGGTAGTAGATTTCTGCGGTTGCTGCGTACATGTATTGCATTGTCAGGTATATAAAATAGTTTGCAAGTGATTTAGTTTTTTGCTGTTTATTTGTTAGCATACGTGGATTATTGGGATGACGATATGAGACAGATGGATGGGTTTGTGATATAATACTGGTTTCATTTTGTTTGTGCATATAAAACTCATGTACATACATATTTTATGCCGTATTGAGCCGATAAATGTTTTTCTGGAAACAAATGTTCCCATTTACATACTTATAAGATAAGATAAGATTTATTAAGTTATCCTTTTAAAGGCCTCATCGGGCCCATGAAGGTACAATTAATGTGTGTATTTTTAATATTTACATACTTACAAGCGTCCGGTTAAACAATTTTGAAATGGTTTAGGCCAATGCCAAATATACCGATTATATAAGGATTTAGCAGTGATTTTGCCGGTTGATGGGTTAACCGGGCTCATATGTAGGGAAAATTTGTAGACATTGTCCGGATAACCCGCTAGAGTAGTATCGCAAAATAGTTTAACATGCCCCTTCAGGGGAAAAGGTCAAACATGTTAAAATTTTGGGTTTAGACGTTAGTTAGGGCACGGATTTAAAAAAAATGGCATCCAAATTTAGACGAGTGATGTGCAAAATAAATTTGGCTAAAACATTATGTAATATCTTGTTGAGGGCAGATGAGAATTCAAGGGATCCGATTAGAATTCATTCCTTTTCGTGGAAGTTAGTGCAGTGTTTAAGGTAATTACTGTGAAAACTTGGTACACTTGGTACACTTGTGAAAACTAATAGCTACTACAAAGATGTATACTACTTACAAACACTACAATGGGTGTAAATATTTTTAAAAACTTAATAAAATACAAGTATAAACAGAACTGAATGACTAAAGATTATTGCAGTTGATTTGATGCCATTATAAAAATGTGCGAATATGAATTGAACTGGCTTTGCTTATTTCAAAATTATGCAACTATTATTGTAGTTTCCAGATTTATGGTGATTTCAATACTACCTTAACTTGTCCGTAAAACCAACCAACTTCTAGTTGGTGTACACATGTAGCTAAAATCTCATTTTGATTACAAGGTTGTATCCTTAATGCTGTTACAAAACTCACTAAAGCACACAAGACCTGGAAACCATAAATTATTTTCATATCATCATTGAAAAAGTAAATAGAGTGAATCACCCCTACAAAACAAGAGGAAATAATGTAAAGCAAGTGCCCAGAAACTAATCCTTAGCGTCATCATATATGACACTGCCAAAAAGTCAGCCCCCGCAAATCTGACTGAATGACTGTTAGCGTTTATGGCAACCTACTTTTACTATTCTTAACCCTAGATAACTTGATTTTGAGACATGTGCAAATACTTTGTGGTCAATCATTCACAAGTTGAACGAAAGTGTGATAACTGCTGCTAATCAGAAAAGTGCTACACTAACAACAAAGTGCTTTGCAAGTTATTGATGTAAAAGTCTTGGCTGTTGTTTTGGAGCAATTCATCCTCGTTTATAAATGTAACATGATCACTTTGTGGCCAAACACCTTAAAACTTATGCATTCATACGCGTGTGCTTGTGCATATTTCATTGAATACTACACTACGGCTTAGGATAGTTAAAATCTTGGCACAATTAAATATGATGGTAGCAACGTCGTCGTCTTATGCATACGTCCAATGACATACCTACATCTATCTATCGACGAGTAAAATATGTATTTACATTTGATCCCACAATAGCAAGCGTTGATCCCCTCCTCCCTCACCCAAATTTTGTACACATAAAAAAAAGTTTTAACATAAGTACAGACATCAACTGCACATTTGCTTCCTTCCGATTTTCCTTCCTCTTTCCAATAAACGAAAAAAATCAACGAAACAGTACAGTCGTCAGTTCCAAACAGAATCGTTGCCAAAAGAAGGTTGGTTTCCCGAACCATCTTCAGTTTACTTTTAGCCGTTTCTCAACTCAACTCTACGTTTTGTCTTAACTGGGAACGAAAAATCTTAATAAAGAAGACGGTTATGCACATCTAGTGCAAGCTGAAGCTTACTCCTCCATATTATTCCATAGAGTCAAATTGTTTTAAAAGGTAGGTAAATGTGAGAGAGAGAAAGTGTGTTGAACATGATCATGACCATATTTGTCAACTATTAAAACATTAACAACTTGGGTATGTCCTTCATGATGAGTCGACCCAACACACAGAACGTGGTCTCCCATTTAGTTTAACAGATCTCTTTCCGTTTACATCATACTGCATTCCGTTGATTATCTCATTATTTCTTGGTCATAGTCTTGTTACAAGAACAACCGGCAGCTGCATCTTGATTTTCATAAAGTGGGGGACATCATTGCTTAATTGCTGTAATTTTGTCGCAGGTGGTTGAGAGCAGAAAAACGATTGCAAATCTACCTACAGAATTTGGTGTGAATTACCAAGTGTTTCAAAATGTGTCTCCGAATGAGGAAATGTTGTTTCTGCCTGGATACCAGAAATGGAACGATTCTCACCGCCGTGGCGTGCATTGTGAGTGGGAGTTTTTTTAGTAGTCGCTAACTTCGTGATTAATAAAATTGGATGACAGTACACAATTTGGATAAGGTTTTCAAATTAATTTCATGAATTCCATAGGCCGCTTCTCTCTTCACTTTTGCATTCATCATCCTGGGTCTCGTCTACTGGGACCAATTCTCGCTACGAGTGCACAAAGCTTACCAGGAGATTGGCCTTGCAGAGGATACAATTGACACGTGCATAAAAAGTGCATAATAATATTATTACCAGTTTATATTATGTGTGGTAATTTTTTTGAAATTATCATATTTTTCATGTACATAGTTCTTTGGTGGGGAAACATATTTACTCTGCTCACCATCATTCTGTATATCATTCTCAGCATTATGCTCATAATTGGTGCAAGTCGGGTAATTAATGCACACAGCATCATTTAAATGCATTGCTGCATAATTATCTTAAAATTCATTTCTATTATAAAAATGCAGGAAGAGTTCAAGCACATGATCCCCTGGATTTCGGCTTCGTTTCTTCTACTCCCCTTCGTCACGTTTAGTTTCTTGTTGCAGGTAATAATAATATCCTGTCGTCAATTCGACAGCTACAACTTGTCGACATAATCATAAAATTTGCCTTACTTCACAGTTAATTTTCGGAATAATTGGGGGTGGAGTAAGCGCAGTTCTCGTTCCAGCAATCGTTGTCCTCATTTGGTGCGTATTTTGGTGGTATGGCTTCTTCTGCGTGGTTTCTCATTATCGAGTAAGACTTGGCCAGCAATACGTGTGTAACTTTTATTAAATTACTTGCATTAATTTGATAAACAATATCATTTTAGATGTTGAAGGGAGACATTCACAGACCGGTGGCAACTCTCTTTCGCCGGGACGACTATTAAGAAAGTTTCACCCCTGACATTTACCACTCTGCAAGAAATACTGCCACTAAAAATCTAATCAATTGTTACCCCTCATTGTTAGAAGTAGTTTGACTTTGTTAAAACATGGAGGCGTCTGGAGTACTCTAACTTAATTGACTGGTAAGCTGTACTGTAGCCCCTTCCTTTGTGTCAGGGAGCTAAATCAATTATTAACACATTTTATAGTTACATTAAGATATTCATTGTTATTTAAGGATTAACTTAACTTATATTTTACATTTGAACTACCGAAAATCGTGTCTCATTAATATTAATTGGTGGTTAACAAGTTTACATGTTTAAATGTTTTGTCTTAATTTAGCATGCATTAGTTATATGCATACGAATTCTATTAGGATTTCATGGTTTTTATCCGTATAAAATTATACACTATGACATGCAAATAACAGGCTATTCACTTATACATATGTACATACTTAAGTACATAAGCTATGCCATAAGCGTCATATGCTACACTCTACCTCTCTCCACTCTCCAACATGATCATTCTATACGTCTTAAACTTGAGTAATAAATTTTTGAACATACCAAATAACGAGGTCATTTATTCCGCATCTCATGAAAGAAAGTCGGCTGTCATTCGTTCCCTCTTGAAAAGTGAAAGTGAAGATTGGGATGCAGAAACAAAATATTGTAGAATAGGCCATCCACCATCCACTTTCACCCTAAGAATATGGCAAAATATCACCACAGCCGGGAAAATATGGCATGAAACATGTGCAAGTTTACTTGATCTTATGTATTTCCTGTTCGACTTTTTCATATTAAAATACTACACAGTTTCTAGAGTGTTAAGCACCGTGCACTATGGAAAAGAACAAAAGTGACAATCAAAACTCAAAGAATTTATGGACACTTTGTGCAAAAAATCAGCACTTGATTGCCGACGAATTGGAGAAAAGTTGTCCGTCCCATGTAGAATGTGCGAAATCTCTTTCGATGCAAATCTACTGGGAACTGGAACAAGAAATGGACGATGATGGTGATGAGAGTTATTCCGACCCTAGTAATTATGGAACTAAGTCCTCTAAAAATTCACAAGAATTTAAAAAATGGATTGAAAATGTTGTTTGTGACGAACACAACCAAGAAAAGAAAGCATTGTCAGTCTTGTTTGAAAATACGAACAAGCGTATGTTAGAAAACAAGGATAAAATTGATGCTATTCGAACCACAATCCTTGAACTTTCTGGTGGTCACAAAGCACTGTTGGAAAATTGTGAGGGAAGTTTACAAAAGATTGATGGATTCATGTACAAAGATGTTGACGACTTTGAGAAGCAGTCGGGCATACGGTTAGTACTTTCTTAATTTGCAGTAAAATAAAAATTTATAGCGCACTATATTAGAAGCAATTAAAACAACAATATCTATTTCAGATGTCGTGCAAAGTGTCAAAATTGTGGGTCCATCAACACCAAACCAATCTCTTTGGTCTCACATTCCTGCAGTTTTGATGCATTGCAACAACTCTTCACATTGAGACTGACGGATTTGAAGGGCAAGAAATTGCTTGACATCGGTTCAGGAATGGGTTCCATTCTTTACGCAGCCTATTGTCTTTCCGAATCTGCACAAATCACTGGAATTGAACTTAACAAGCGATTGTGTGACATGGTATCGAAAGTAGCAGTTTCACACGGAATGGACAAAAATGGTCGGTTACAAGTGGTTAATGGAGATTTGTTAGACCATGCAGACCTTCTTCAAGATAGTAATGTCATAACTTTTAACAATTCCTTTGAATACTTTGTCCCTAGAAATGTCCAAATAACTTTATGGCAGTTTATTAAACGGAACATCAAGTCGGGTTCCCTACTGGTCACAAACCCTTCCTTGGAAAAGTTGTTTTCTCCTTTGCAACCCGAACTAGGAATTAAAATTGATGAGTGGGTATCGCCATTTATTTTCCCTCCCCATGAAGCATATGATAAATTAGTAGCTTTATCAGTAATTCAGAAACCTGACGAAATATTTTGTATTTACAACGTGATCTAAATAGTTACAAGGATATATTTACAATAATTTACTGAATTTTATACTAGGCTAAAGCAGAGATAACAAAGTTATCAAAAACACAATGTAAATTTGGTGACTTGTCTAATGTGACTCGTTCATACTGTACTGCAGAGAATGTCCTTCGGACTGGTACTGGTTACCGTACTGCAAAATGATGATAAAGTAGGTCACGACTGCCCCAAGAACCTGGAATAATCAAATATCTATGTGCATATGTATACACATAACCACCCATTAAATTTTTCCATTATACTTACTGTCACGATGAAGGGCTTATCCACAACAAAGTAGTGTCCGCCTGTTAGGCACATGCGTTGGTGAAAGCTCATTTGCAAACTCAGGATGAGATGCCTCCTTGCAACGCTGTCGTGGACACTGATCCCCTTCGTCTTGATTATCTCGTAACTCTTGTTGGCCTCTTCTGACACGTATGCGGCGTGCAGGGAAACGGACAGGAAGACGTAAATGTTCTGGATAAGGAGAACAATCGCCACAAACGTGTCCAACCCGTCCCCGTGACTGTTGAAGATTGTAAAAGTGTTGCTCATTGCAACGTAGTAGAGCTCAAAGCACATGTTCAAAATCTGCACATTTTGAAATAAAATATGATTATAATGTCATCATAATTTTTATAATTTTGATAATTAGTTTAATACATATTATATGGATTTACTAACCTGACTTCCAAAATAAGACAATAAAATCGCCGCAAACACTTTATCCGTGAGACGCACAAGTTTCAGCAAAATTACGTGGTCGTAAAACAATTTTCTGCAATTTGTATCTTCATCTATCTCTATTGTAATGGTATTAAAAATGTGTTACAAAATTTGAAAAAAAAGATTGAATGGAATTAGCCCATTTGTTTAATTGTGTACATATACCTTGGATGGGAGATCCCTGAAGTTCTTCTCGAAGTCGAGAGTTCCAAACTTTTATGCAATATCTCAAAATTTTGCATTTGAAGACAAAGAAAAATAGCAATGATCTCGAGGCGTACATTGCATACAAAATTATGACCATTCCAAAGGATCGACAAATCCATTCATAATCTTGGTCAACGTTGGGAATAAGGATTCTCAGAACCAACACTCCCATCAAACTTGACCCTCCCTGAGCTAGCTGTATGGTCCTGTTATAATTCCAATCAATATAGTTAGGGCAATTTATTATTAGAACAATTGGCATCTACATAAGAGCTAATACCACTTACAAAACATATGTCGACACAACCATAAGTACGGCAAAAAAGAGAAACCACAAGTTATTCATGTGAAGAAATCTTTTCAGATGATTCGGAACCTTCATGTCCATTTTGTCGACTGCAACATTCCAGAAATTTAGAAATTTCACAACATTCTTTCGATTTAGAAGAAACGAGATGTTTCCCACGGTGGATGAGAGGAGACAACTCCACACCAGGACAAAGGGGATGAGGTTAGACTGGAACAATTTGTCCTGCTCGGTGGTCCAGGGTGGGAGGGAGAAAAATGACCAGGAGAGAAATACACCAAGAAATGAAAAGACGCTCAGCGCGAGCAAAATGAGTAGAAATATGCTCGTGGTTCCAAAATATATCCATGACAAAGATTTCACGGATGAGGAATAGTTCAACCCGTTGCGGGATGATTGACCTCCAAAATTTTCATCGCCAATGCGACCATCGCCACCAATCCTAGTTTCTCCGTGGTCCTTTTTGGAAAATTGGTCAGTGGGGATGGTTGGGATGAAGGGAAATCGACCAAGAATCAATAAAACGTATCGCATGCATGCAAACACGTCATTGACACGACCTTTATGAGGGATTTTGTCCTCTGGGGACGGAGGACTAGACTCCATAACTCGCCCCCCACCACCACCAACAACTTTAGACAAATTTTTCAATTCAAAATTAACGCAGGAAGTTGTCCCTTCCACAAATGAGAATGCTCTCCGCTGTTTCGACAAATACCCAAATTCGTCTTCGTAAACTGGTAAAACCATTTTGAAATATGACAAGAATAAATAAGTAGCGTGCTGCAATTATATGACCTGAGTTGAGGATGTTGCTAAAAAAACTGAGGGTGGGTCATGGTGTGAGTAAGCTTTGTCAAGCATATTTTGACCTTCTAGAAAAAGGCGATGTGAGCAATGTGTTGTATGTACATATGTAATATTCCATTGGGCTGCTGTACAGATAAGAAAATATTAAAAGTCATCAATCATGCGGTCCAGAAAAAAATGAGATGATGAATCATAAGGTTTATTTTCCAAAGTAATTTTGCATACTGACAATGAGTGGGAAATGCAGCTTTTCATAACGTGGATGACAAATAAATATTTCGATAAGCTCTTCTAAGCAAACATGAAAATGAAACCGTAGCTAACTCACTCATGAGAAAATATGAGTAGTATTGAATGCTAAGCCCGTTGCCCTTTGTCGGCACATATTTCGCTAGCATGCAGAGTATTGTTGTCGTGGGGGAAGACGATGCCCAGTTGTCGTCGAACCTCGTCAGCCACTCCCATCACGGCTCGACTTGCATTCCAGCCTACGATGGGACATTCTCGCCACCCTTTAGAGCAAGACAAACGCATAATTAATTACCAGTAGTTGAGCATGAAGCATAATATATTCTATTTTAAATATTATTATGCAATAACGTAAAGTGATTCCGCATACCGTTAAGAATGCATTGCCGTACTGTCTCCGCCTCATACGTAAATCCAGAACTGTTAAGATTGTTAAATTTAATGGCCTCCAGGTTGAGAGGAAGATCAAATTGTAATGTTTCAGTTGGGGTCTCCAAAATTGTTGGGGCCCAGAAAGGAAATTTCAGCTAACGTTTATTTAAATATATATGGGTAATGTCAAAGATCTAATTGGTGCCATTATTAGATAAAATGTTTTTATTAATGAATGAAACCTAAGCTAACCTTAAGCATCCCTTGCGTCCCAATGACCCTCAGCTCCCCCGGCATGTTCACTTTGGAAGAGCAAATGATGGATGCGATTTGGGCCGTATCCCTGTAAGTTAAAGTAATTGCAACACTTTCATCTGTTCCGCTCGCCGAAATGATTCCTGATGCGGAGATGCTGGACGGCTGTCCAAATATCTGATGGGCAAACATGAGTCCGTAGACGCCATGGTTGAGCAGCGTCCCTCCTCCGATATCCTTCCGGCTGAATAAAGAAACGCATGATGAGAACAACTCATTGATGAAATGAACAGTCGGCACAGTTCATTGTAAAGGCAGGATTATGTGAGATTTGAAGTTGTGCAGGACATGATTCACGTAAAAGAGTATACCTAAATCTATCCAGATGATAAAATTTGTTGCCAATTTCAACTGTCATTTGCACAACTTTCCCAATGCTCCCTTGTTTGATTTCTTCTAGTAGTTTTCGTGTGGCTGGGAAGAAAAATGTCCAGAATCCCTAAACGTGGACAATAAAGTAATGATGGCTATTGTCTTAATTGTTAAAAATAAAATAGTTGGTTTCTGACCTCCATGAAAAATAGATCCTTATCTTTGGCAATTGCCACCAATTCTTCAACTTGAGCTCGGTTGATGCAAACGGGCTTCTCGCATAAAACATGTTTTCCATGCAACAATGCCAACTTTGCTTGGTGAAAGTGCTCGGAATTTACAGTTCCGATGTAAATGATATCTGCAAAAAAGAGTGTAAAAATGTAACTATCTACCTGTATTAATTGATAAATAATTAATTTTATATTCATCGTTCGTACCAACATTATCTGACTCGGCCAATTCAGAATAATTTCCGAAAGCTTGCTCAATCCCAAGTTTCTCGGCAAAATCTTCTGCCTTATTAGAATCCCTGGATGCGATTCCAACCACTTTGTGATGATCCAACGGCAGAAGCTTCAGAGCACTTACGAAATCATGAGTACCTAATTTAAACAAATTTTGAAAATTACAGAAATTACAGAATTGTGTTCGTCAAAATTATAATGTAAATTTCTGCTCACATTTTCCTGCTCCAAAAAACCCCCAGCGCAAGCTCGTTGTCTTCATTCTGCAGGAATTTATTCTAAGCAGTGTTTCTTCAATTTAAAAAGTACTGAACGACTGGTTGAACAATAGACTACTCTCAAAGAACAATTGAGATCAACTACTTTCGATTGGGAAGAAATTCTTAAAATTTTACCATCGCAAATGTCTCTCATCAAATTGCACTCACAATCGCAATGTATCATTATTTCATCCGTATCCTGTCCGGTCATTAATCCAGTCCCCAAATATTGCTGAATATCTCGTCTCATCTATGAAAATTATCCTGTCACACAAAATGATGACTTAATCTTCAACAATAAGTTCAATTTTGTCGAGTCAAGAAATACCGATATTTTTCTCATCTACATTCTGAAACCAGACTTCTCTGGTTTTACACATATGAACATTAAATTAGCATTTTTATATAATCACTAAATATGTAGCATTTCAATTGCAGTTTAATACATAAGTCACTCCTTAAACTATTACACATTTTACTTACAGCCTTGATATACATACTGAAGGTTTACAATGTTTGAAAATAAGTCCCAGTCAAAATAAATCATCATTTTCCTGTCTAGCATACAAGATTTTAAAAAATTACAGCAATTGTTAGGTAACATTGTGCATAAACCGATCCACTCCTAATTATAGTTCTAATTGTAGTTCAAAGCATCCACTTCAATCGATTGTCATATAAAGTGAGATTACAAAATAATTTTGTTTTCAATAAAGACGAGATTCGTCCGAATTTTAGGAACGAGAGACTCGGGAACGTGTATAAGAACAGAAGAAGCATGAATGAAATACACGGAGGCCTGATGAGGAATAAAGTTTTTTTCATGGGTTTTTCTCTATCTTTTCCTTGGCCTGAATCTGCAAAAGTCTCAACTTTGCCATAAAACACAATGCCGATTTGTTGGGTGGGTATACAAACCGGAGTCGGCTTCTGCTTTCCTTCTCAAGCAATTTCCTTTCACCCTCCTCCTTTCACACTCTCTTCGTCACGAAAGACGGAAACAGCAGAGGAACAACCGAAAAAGGGGACTGATTTCCCCTACCACTTATTTGTCTCGTATTTACATCCTCCTACAAAGACAACAAATACTCAACGTAAAAGTGAAAAGTCAGCTAAACTGATAAATTTGTAATTAAAAAAGGTAAACAATAATGTTTTTAAGAGTTTTTAAATATTTCATAATCATGATGACGGGTTGTTTGAATATCCTCAGTAAAGATACATATTTTGAAGTTTGAATTTTGAATTTTACACAATGTAGATAAGATGAGCATTGACTGAATAAATTGGTTTGGGGTTTTAACAGGAAGATGCAGTTTTACTGGGAAGGTCGTAAAATCCACATTGTTTTCACTCTTTATGGATTACTTGCATTGGTCACTGTGGGGGAGATAAAGGGTAAACTGGACGATAAGGACCCTTCTTTTTTGGATCATAATATTGATAAGCATGTCATCTTCGCTCTTCCACTCTCTCAAGGAGCATACGACTTTGATGTGGATGGATTTATTCGTAAGTATCTATTTAAAAAGGCTATATTATTTAACTAGTTTACCATCATGTGTGGCAACGTAATAAAGTAATGCAATTTGCCTTTTTCGTTCGATGTAGCTAAACTTCCATTGCAAAGGATGGGATCTATTCATAAAGAGATGATTGACACCATTAAGAAGGTCGCAGATCGAAAGAAACAAATTCAGCACATTCTTACTGTTAGCAATACAATTAATAAGGTAATGGTACATAGTTCCGAAACGAATGTCACATTAGAAGAATTGCTTAAATTAATTAATAATTGTATGCAAATTGTACTTTGTAGGATTTGGACCAATTAAAGTATAAAATTGAGCAAGTGGGAGTTGCAGCCAAAGATATTGATAAGAAAAGTCTTAAAGCAGATGGTAGGCACGTTTTCAGTCCTGGTTGAAAATAAATGCTGATGTTGGGATTTGTAGGTCATTAATTTTTATTCTATTGCATTTACAGGTTTCATATTTCTAGCTGGTCATTCCACACTAATGTGCAACTTTGTCATTTACTTTCCGGATATAATGAAACAACTATTAATCAGAAATCCGACGTTTGATGCTAATGTAAAATGGGCGATTCAGTTTGTCGTACAGGCCAAATTGATCAAGGAAGAAAAGTTGGCGAAACCCTTCAATTTAGTGAATTATGTTTGATTGTTAATTTGAGGATAACACAAAGACATTTAATATATGTAATGTTTTAATTTGTGTTTCTTTAATACTATTAGGCCCAGCAAGAACTTGAAATGATTCCAAAGGATCCGAATTATCATAATCCATACAAGTACGAGAATCGAATGCAGTCAGAACCAACTCCAAGCACAACGACGACAAAGAAACCACGCCGAAAATTACAACGAGGACCTCGACTGTCCGGTGGAGAGTTGTGATTTGGTGATAGTTTTCCAGTATTTCCTATGTTCTGTATTTCAAGCGTTTCAGATGAGCTTTTGAGTACAGGTAGTACAATTTGTATTTCTAATTGTACACAATGAATACAGATCTCGAAGAAAATTAGGCTAACTAGAAGTAGGAAACCATAAAAATAAAAAACAGGACAAAGTATTTCTTATTGTTAAATATAATACATGTAGTATATTTTGTAGATTATATACTTGTTTGTTGTGATAAATTGACGAGTCTCTCTCTCTGTGCCAGTCATACAAATTTAATGCTCAAGAGGTGACAGACTGCTGTTTAGGAATTTATATTTTGGACGTAATTTTTCTACACATTTTGTGTTTTCAACCTCGTAATTTATGTATCTTTGGTTTTAGGCACTTTAACTTCTAGTTATAGGTTGTAGGAACCATATAATTTCCTGTCGTGTCTGGATGAATAAATAATAGAATAAATTATCACTGGAGTTTTATTGAATCAGTTTTGATTTGTTATTTCATAAAACTTTATACACATGATAATAACAATGCTCTCCATTCATAAAATCTAGCTCATGTTCTAATACTAACCAGTTTACAAATTGTGAGTAATTATGCATTTTACATTCTTCCCCAAGTTCCTCTTTGTCCCCAGAAGCAAACAACAGTAAATAATCTTCTAATCGTTTATACAATATTAATATCGCTCCCGATTTCATACTATTCCTCAGCGTTGTAAATATCGTCTCCCTCTGTTTATCATCAGCACTTAACACTCGTTCACACAAAATTACCAAGTCCATCGATTTTATTATTCCAACGTCACCAGGTAATAAACCAGTGCAAACGGTCACCTTATCACCCATCCCATGCTTTTCTACAACCCTTCTCTGCAACTCGCACTGGTCTGGAGCCCACTCACAAGAAATTATTTTCTTACAATCTTTGACAAATAGGTGCGTACAAAATGTCACACTGCCAATTCCACTTCCTAACACTAAAATATTATCCAGCCTCAATTTCCGATCGTCCACAAGCAGAGTAAACAATTTCGCCAGCGTGGTTGGCGAGAAGCTGAATTGAATCGCAGGTTCTATCGGAGTACATTTCGTCATGGTGCAATCCATACATTTAAATGGCGATTTGATCCCAAGGACTCGATAAGCTAATCCCTCATCTTCAAGAAATAGAGAATCAGCTTCAACCTCGACATCCATTTCATCACTTTTGTCCATGTCCTCCATCTTGCTGTCATAACCGTCGCCTCGTTTGGCGATAACTGTTGCAAAATATTCTTCATACGGGGGTTCTTTCTTGATACGTTTTATCAAAAGTCTAAAGTCCCTCGAGTTGGTGGCCCTCTTCAGCCAAACATTGTCGAGGAGATCTTTCTCTGGGTTGAATGTCCTCAGCCAGTCCAGCACCCTTGTGCTAGGAACAGAGGACTCATTGCTGGCCGGCAGCAGATCTGCAAATTTTGGGTCGTTGGCCTCAAGCCATTCCAAAATTTGGAGAAGTTGTAACTTTTTTCCGTCCAGAGCCCTCAACTCCAGCAGACCCGGGTCCGGCAGCTCAGCCGTGTGGTTCATATTTTTTTTTGTTTCTGTATTTTTTTTAGAAAAAAATTACGTTTCGTAATTTCGGAAATATAAATATTGTTTGCAACTTGTCAATTGCCTTGATCTTACTTGTATACAGTTTTCTACTGCCTTGCCGTGTTGTTTGGAGAGTTTGATTGAGGTGAGTTTCCTAAAATATATTCGTTCTATTTAATTGAATTTGATTAAATATAATTTCTGTCGTGAATTTAATAATATTTAGTGTAATTTGCGAATTGCTACTAACTTTTTAACTAACGTGTGCACTATGTATTTATTGACACGTAATAGATACTTATTTATGTATGTGCATGAGGAATAGCACTATGCGATAGTTATGGAAAATTCAGTCAAGTTGACTGACTTGACCCCCTTTTATGTTATTCATGATTGTCCTCCCTCCTTGTCATCGGCCTTATCAAAATTCTCAGAATGAATTGAACCTGCCAATATTTTCCTTTTACCGCAGCCATATATGCATAGTGATCATCGTATCGTATCGTATCGTAATCCTCATATCATTCTTTCATATCATAAAATTGAGCCCTTCTTCAGAGCAATAATGTATGTATGTACAACTGCGTGTTCTACAATGTTCACAAACAAACAGTTTTGACAGCATGGTACGGTGGTGTGTAGTAATAGATAGAATAGTTTACTTAACTTTACCTTGATTCAATTTTACACGTTTACACAATAACAATTTCATCCACGATAATTCCACCACCACAGCCAAACGAATACATATATGGAAAGTGGTTGAAAACTTTAACTAAATAATGGCTAGGGCTGAGTTTACTCCAGGTCGGTATTTGTACCATGAAATATTTGCGATCATCTACCACAAAATCTGGATCTGCAGATATGGATATGAATAATACGATATGATGTCATGCATGGAACTAAAATGAATGCAGAGTATAACAGTCTTCATTCAGGTGAGGCTCGAGTTCCTTCAAACTTTAAATAATTTGAATGGACATGGTTTAGTTATAGCAAGACGTTATACATGAAGTTGCTAAAAGTAAAGTACTCGTAGCTATAATTTTTAGTGGGCTGTTGTAACAAATTTCACAACAGACTAGCTCAGCAGAGATAGCTTGGGGAAAAAGGTATGTACGGACATGTAACGATAGTAACAACGAACAATAGTTGATATGCAATCTCCCTCCTGCTGCTACACCACGATAAAGTGCACTTAGAAAATACTACCACTCATAAAACTGAGCTTATTATTATTATTACCTAGCTCTTCGCAATTAAACGCCAAATAACTATCAGTCGTTTAATTACAGGAGCACCGTTTTTTAATTTGTTCAGCAGCACGTACAACTCTGAAGACTGACGACTACTACATATGCACTTCTAGAGAGAACAAGTGAGTGTGAATAGAGTAAGTATTAACATGTTGGTGGTGATCTTTTTTAAACGGATTTTTTAACCCAGTGACTTGTGATACAAAACGCGTACAATAATAGAACCGGAGTATAAAATAACGCAACGAATGCCTTGAACGGAAGGAAACTAGGATCTTTTTAATCTAGCAACAACAACGACTACAAAAGTACAAATTATAATGGAGAAGAGCTTGGAGTTGTTGTCCGACATAGAATGTCCCTTCAACCCTATGATGGCACAAGGGGACGGACCCCTTCTCAGTAGGTCATCTTGCAATCTCATCCGTTTCGATGACAGCGGTGATAACCAGTCTAGGGTTTATGGGGACGAGTCATTCGAAGCTCTTGGAGGAAATTCTAGTGTGCTGTGAGTGATTATGTTTACATATTTCCAAATTTTTGCATGCATCACTTTTTGTAATGTAGTGAAGGAAGGTGAACTGCTAGTAATTTGCATGCAACAGTGCAACAATGTTTATTTACTTTAATGTAACTTTTTGTATGGATGCATCTCTCTCGCAGTGATCCTTGTGATCTCAAGACGGAAATTGCACAGTTAAAATTCCAGATCCTGAAGTTGAATGAGGATTGTGCCGATTTGAGGAAACAGAACTCAACTTTTCAAGATGAAAACATATTGTTAATGGTGAGTTACGTTAATTGGATGAAACAGCATTACTAATTGGTAGAAAGCATAACTAATATGTAAATCTTGTTTTTGATTATTTTCCGTATTTAGTCAGAAAAGGACGAGCTGGAGAAAAAGTTGGCTCATCGTGATTTAGCTCAAGAGCGAATTAAACAGCTCCAGAAACAGTTGGATGAGACAGTACGAGCGGTATCGAATATTGAAGATCTAAACTCAATTCTTCGGGCAAAAAATCAACGTCTGGAAAAAGATTTTTGGGACTTAGAAGACAAGGATAATAATCTCCGAAATGATGTATGCGTTTTACGTGCACAACTTTCGTGTTTTACGGAACAAACAATTTCTTATATTTGTTTATTTATATGCAGTACAACAAAGTAATGACAGACTTGGAAAAGGCTTACGCCAAGATAAAAAGGAAGGATGAAGATATTCAACGACTTAAATGTGCATCAGAAGACCTAATTGAGAAATGGAGAGTTAAGCAAACCTGGTTAGAGCATCAAATGACAGATTTAAATGAGACCTTGGAGGAAATAACGAGAGCGAATTTTGTGAGATTTGATAATGGGCCTCCTCAGACGCACGAAAAAATCGTCGCTTCGAAGTTTGCTTTGTTTTTCGCTTATCGATAACATGGCAAGAATTATGAAAATTGTAAAATTTTGTTTCGACTTCAGCTAACCGACCTTAACCCCACTTCTGAGTTGAGTTTCTGTTCGCTTATCCCAGAGCTCGCTTATCAGGAAGCAAGCGAAAAACTTAGCGAAATTAGAAACGACGATTTTTTCGTGTGTCTGAGGAGGCCCAATATATATATATATACATAGAGGGGTGTCTATTTTCTACTTGAAATTTAATAATCATACGAATCTCTTTATAGCAACTTCGACAAGAAAAGTTCGAGTTGGAAAATAGTTTAGTGGACTGTGCAGGCAACCAGTTGGTATATCTCAATGGCAGTATTGGCAGTCCTGTATGTTTTTATATTTACTATATAGCAAAATATTTGCTATTTACGTTTTTAGAAAATGGGTGTTATTATTCACATTTCATTTAAATTTTTTATATTATTTTAAGGAGGGTAATTCCAGCAGGTCAAGCTCTCCCAGTAGTCCACGCTGCTCTCGAACAAATTATGCAAGCCCACGATCCTACCTTGGGCGCTCATTGCAAGCCGAGATCGCAGCGATTATTGTACGTGTTACGGGTTCAATTTCCAATTTAATCATAATCTGAGTGCATATACAGTGCATATGTATTATATACCCATTCTAACCTAAATCCAACCCTCATTCTCATTCAAGTAGTCGATAGAAATGGTTCACTTACTAATTTGTGCATATATACTCAATATATTTAATACAGCAGTCCAATAATGGTTCTTCCGCTTCTACCATAAGTTTGGACAATTCTGTGTCTCAATCGTGCCCTGTTCTTTCCGAGCCTGACGAATGCATGGACAAAATGTCCATGCCGGTGCTGTTGGTGACCTGCTCAACCTCGACGCAGACTGATCCTTTAATTGACGAACAACCAATTGAAATAACAACAACACCTCCTTCTCCCCCCTCGTCGGATACTTCTCTCGGGATCAACCTACGAGTTGAGCTTTGTTCTTCAAAGTTAGGACTCTCTATAGGACGCCCACCGTCCCGGAGACCCTCCACGCAAGACAGGAGCTTATTGGACCCAACTGATCTCGGCGATCTTGAGGATGGAGGAGATGTCAACTATCTGGATAGCTTAAGCGCTCATATCGGGTTAGTAAACTACACTTTTCTGCACTATTGCACTACCCTTGTCAATTTTAGAGGGCCAAATTTGGTCACTAAGATAATTCTACTATAATTTTGTAACTCTATTTTCAATCCATATCCATCAAAGCAAATTGTAATACGGTAAAAAGTTGTTACCATATTACAGGTTTTTTTCCGTTCGGTATGAAATCTCTCCGGGTCCCTCATCAAATATTCAATGTGTCAAATCTGCAGAAACATGAGCCAATCTGTGATTGACAAATAAGGTTGGCTGCAGATTTATTTAGTGCCATGAATATGAACGTGATCGGAGAGGCAAAGGTGTAAATAAAATCCATTATTGTTCGTGCAACTATGTACAATCTGCAGTGATGTCGGGACTATCGGAAAATCATTTACTGATTCAGCAGCACTACTTTGCCATATCATAATACAACTGCAGCAAGCACCTTATTACTTGAGAGTTCTGGCTCATTTGGCGTAGTATTAATAACGAACTGCTGCTACATAGCGACATAGTTGTGGTGGTAAATAATGCCATGTATTTCATTCCATTTCATGGTCATGTCGCTGATGCTCTGAGTTTGGCTTAAAGTAAATGCCCAAACTAAGTAATAACTGCCACTACATACACAATATCATCCACTTGGTTAATTTCTCTCCTTCATTTCTTGTTGCTCATATGAATATATATGTAGATAGATATATATATATTTGCAGAAGCTGTATTCATATATGCCGAATGCCTGCTGTTAGATAAAATAGTGTATTATGACCAAGTTTAAGTGAAATAATGTAGGCAAAAGCTTCAAGCAGAGGGTTGTTGTGTGGCACTACTTTTATGGAACATAATGGACTGGTTAGTGCAAATGTGATGATCGCACGATGGCTTGGTTTGGCATAATATTTAGTAGCAGAAAAGTTGTAGAATACTGCAACCCTTTAAGCTCGTTGTAGGTTAGGTAGGTAGCACACCTGTTGAAGAAGATTGTATAGAAATTTCTGTTTGATCTCTCATCATCATCATCCAGCTTATTCTTTTCTTCTTCTCTTCTCCTACTTCATCTTCTTCTTCCTCGAAAACCTTAATTGTTACTCGATCAAAAAATATAAAATAAATATGAGTTCTTCTTGTGGACCCTCTTTGCCAATTTATAATGACCAAAATGAGACATCCCCTGTGGGTGTTATTCCTGAGTCGGATAGAGAACATATGAAAAAGTAAAGACGTGAAATTTCGGGAAACGTTAAATTAAAACCATTCTTAAACTTTGGATTAACTAATTTACTTTTTATTTATAGGTACGCTTTCGATCCTGTGAGAAGATGCTCTGAATCTGCAGCAAGGATATTAACGGGTCAGGAATGGAGAACTCTAAGATTGGACTTGGATAAGAAAGCTCAAGATGTTAGTTTCTTATAAAAAAAATGTTGCAAACAGATATGAATAACAATACTGATCTTGTGTTTCTTAACAGAATTATAGAAAGGGGAATGAAGAAGAGGGAAATGACTTTGAAGGAGGTCTTGCCGTCGAAAGTGGTTCTCAACGCCCTTCAAATGCACCAGACTTGGAAGAAGAAGCTGAAGAGTGTTTGGAGAAATTTCCAGGCCTTGTTGAAAAACTCTTTGAGGATTTAGATGTAATTAAGCGAACCCAGAAAAAGTAATTTGAATCTTTTAATTGACACTTCATCAATATTCAATTCAGTGATAAATGGTTACACTTTAAATAATGCGGTAGCAATGTGTTACCACATTATTATTACTAGGTGGTGACCACATATTGACTGCTTTGATAATAATTTGGTAGTTTAATTACACGGCGTGGTATTACATATATATGTACCACGAAATTTAAATTTGTTGTCAACGGGTGAAAAACTGAAATAATGTCGGTCATAAACTATTAGCACTATTGTTCAGTATTTAATAGTTTAATCGTCCATGAAACTATAAAATTGGTAGTCAAGTTTGTGACAGTCACCGAATTGTTTTTAAATATCCTAATTGCATGATTTTAAATAAGATAATTTTAAATCTATTTCAGCCCGGCCGAATTCGATTTAGAAATTATTTCGGTGAGCAAATAAATTCGAATAAAGGTTTACATCACCGAAAATAATAATTAAATTAAATTTACAATTTTTTTTAGACTCGATTTAACCATTTAGCCCACACTTTTAAAGTCGAACACTCAAATTTAGCTCAAAGAAAGGAAATTAATGCCAACAATCATGACCATGCCACGACAAAAATGGAAGACATTGTTGAATCTCTATCGGAAATTGTTCAGGTATGCAAATGAAAGCAAATACTATTTATTTCGTTTTGCGGAAATACTTACTCTTAATTGATTCTGACATTGTTTCTATTTCAGAAATTTGACGATATAACAAGAAAAACAAACGTGCCTGAAGATTTGTCTAAACTGATCTTATCATTCAAAAACATTCCAGGAGACTTGGACATTTATACTCACGAATTATCCAAAACATCTCGCGTAAGTGGGACAATTATATTCTTAACCATTTGGGCGACCTGTCAATTATTTTGTTTTGACATTTTGGCTATAAATTCTCCTTTCAATTTTAGCGAGTTGGAATGATGGATGTACAAGTCCGCCTTTACAAAATGATTGAAGTTATGGTTTTATATGTTCATATTTTGAGAAACATGTGTGCCGAAAAAGACAAGGACATTCAATCAGCCAGGTGGGTGGGTCAATTTTACGGCGTACATAATTATGCTTCGGTAAGAAAATAGTTTCGAGTATTAACCAAATCGGAATACATTGAACTACAGGAAGCTCCTCGATAAGAATAGTATAATCTACTCGGTATCGAAACCTGTCACAGCGAGGAACAACGAAAATGGAAATAACAATAACGGAAAGGTAACAAATTTATGATCACTACTTAATACTTAATTAAATATTATACGGAATACTTACTAAATAATTAATAATGCAAGCAGCATACATAAATAGGATTTAACAACTAACATAAGTCAGTCAGTCATATTTCTGTGTTGTCGAATTCTCTTTGATTTGCGATTCTTTTTAGAATTAAAATCTTATTCAAAATAAGATTCAAAATTCAATTAATTAATCCGAACTTTCAATCCTTTAGCTGTGCAACGGAAACCATGAGAGTGAGTTCGACCCTGATTCTCCCGATCGACCTACCCAGTTACTTCAACATTTACTGGGACCTATCAAATCAAATCTCAACATGGATAATAAACTGGTGCTCAAGGAAGAGAAAGCAAGTCCTAACGTACTCCTTAGGTATTGTACCATCCTGATGTCAAACTTTCTTTGCGTTTGTGGTCCTGAATTCGTCAGATCAACTCGACTCATTTAATTTCTGTTACAGATTCTGGTCTGAAGCTTACGAAACAATGAGGTGTGAATTTTTCTGGCCGTGGAACGGAGAAGACACGTGGCGTGGTATGAAGGAAGGATTTTCCTTCACTTTGATGGTCTTGGGTCTCTTTGTCATCTTCCGGAATTTATTCCCCAGCGTTGCGGACGGTTGTCCCACCCCATCCATTGATCTCGGTTCGATCTTCTCCAAACATGGAGAACTCCATCACCCAGCCCTCCCACCCATTTAAAAAATAGCAGCACCATACAGACCAAATAATGAAACTTGAATCTTTGGCGGCAGCGTTATCATTACATTTTACAGATATTATACAAACCACCAAAACGGAATTCTTATTCCGAAATTGTTTCTAATTATTTAAATTGTTTTTGTAAATTATATAGATCTATACATATACTTAAGCCGTTGTGCCATGAGGAGACAATTGCCTAACAATACTGTTGTATAAGTTAAATGTGGAAATTCCATTGTTAATTTAACCCTACAGAGAGTAATGAAAGAAGAGACGATCGAATAATAATAGTTGTGAGTGCTAGTATGTATTCATATATTAAAATACTGGTACTACTACTCCAACTTATGTCTAACCTACGATTGAAGAAGAGCAATAAATACAATTATCGTCATGTTATTACTCAAAAAGCAATATGAGATGAAATGATAAAGGATACTTCTTCGTTCGTTGCATGCATGCATGCATGTATGTGTGTAACATGTAGTCATTAATTGTTCATATATGTAATAATCATGAAATTAATTTACATTCATCAGCATCTTGTGACATCGTCCATTTTCATGTCAAACTATCACTATTTCTATGTATTCACGAATGCTGTATGCTATTCTGTTATTGCTACTATCCAACCAACTGGTTTGAACGGTTGACTTTGTCAAACAAGCGGTGCGGTATCCTCTATTTTGCAGTATTTTATTGGTTCTCTGCACAGGGTGCGTTTTCCGATTACTTGGCAATTAATTCTTTCTTTAAACACAAAAGATTTAGAATACTTTTTCATGTGATAATAATTTTTAGTTCACCTCATTGCATTCCGTGGGTCAGCGGATTTCGTATTTGATTAATTATTTAATACTATATAATGCATGCTTAACTTTACTTGGCGTGTGCGTTACTTCAGCGTTTCGTTCTTCTTTTTTCCCTGAGGGTAAATGAGTATAGTTTTGATTGACGTAAAAACGGCAGGATTTTATAGAAATGAATTCCACCAGTCAAAGTAGTCCAGTTTGTCACAAAAGCAAAACTCAACATCCAACTCAGTCATCATCAGTTATAAAATTAGTGCATAATCTATCATGCAGATTAGGAATTTTGTTCTTCTTGTTTTCAAAATAAATGTCGGCTTGACTTCCTTCAACTACATTCTACAACTACAATGTTGGATAAGGGGTCAAGGCAAAAGTCAGCATGCATATTTACATAAGAGTACTTCTGCTCACACAGCAATCATAAAATTGTGCCTCTGATCTGATCATTGTTTTAGCAGTATTTGTTATTGTATGTACTAGTTTTATCGAGTATTATTATCAAAGATGAGTCAATTGAATTGATCGGCCAATTCACTGCTCAATTCACCATTCACCACACTGTGACGTCCTATAATCAACATTATCTGAAGATAATAATCATTCATGACCACGGTAATGCATAATGCTATGTTATAGATGTATCGTGTCGAGTGAGTTACGAGAGTCATAAATCACCCCTTTGTAATTTGCCATTCGACAGATTATGTTGGTTTTTTATTAGCGTTTACACGTAAAAATATACACATTCCATATCCAATCGAAAATTCATAATTATCACGATTCTTATTAAATTAAATTGGGGCTCATATTACATTTGGCCCTAATAAACACGAGATAGCAGCGATGATCATCTGATGATGATGAGAAGAATGAAGATGCGTTATGCTATGTACATATATTCAATGACTTTTATTGATTGAGTGGTGCTGCATATTATTAAGCACTTAAAAAATGGACCTTTCACCCTCCACGCTGTAGGATAATTTAAATATTAACTGGCACTAATGAACTTGGCCATAAATTGGGTGAACCAAAATGGAGTCGAAGAGGGATATCAGAGTAATTCCAGCAAATGACTTTACGGAAATAGATAAATTCTTCTCGTCCTTTGTTGTTCTTGTGACTTTTGACATGATATCGTGAAGTAATTAGACAACATCGTGTCCTTGTTGGTGAATAATAATTTTGGGCTACTTCGACTCATTCTCGTTCTCGTTCTAATCTGGTTGTGAGATTATGTATTGTGCATTTTACTTACGTCTGCAGATGGAAAATGGGGAATTCTCTTGGCTTTTGACCATGATTGCGAAATATGTTTGCATCTAACACACTTGGTCTCCTCAATACTTGTTTAATAAATTAATAAGTTATTTCTACTCGTATTAATTTAAGCCTTAGAAAGAATTATGCATCGCTAGCCGTCTCTAATGCGAAAAGAGGAATAATAATAATAATAATAGTTGTAGTCATATCGAAAATTGCATCGTCTAAGCATTCATGCATCTAATAAGTAATGTGTTATTAATGTACTGTCTGTTTATTATAATAAAAGCTATATCATGCATACCTACGAACTATTGTACAAATTCAAAGTTTGCAGATTTGCAATATTCCTCTATTAATAATTGTTGCTGTTACTTGAGGGTGCTTTTTTACCCTCTGCTGACTGAGATGCAACAGAGTCAGAAAAAACTCTACAATGACAACAGCTAAATAAAAAATGCTAATATGATTGAGGTAAGTGACAATGAAGAGTCGTATTATTTCCTACTAGACAGGAAAGCCAGGCCAAAAGCACATATGCACATACTCATCATTGTCACTCGCTTGTCTGCTGTATCGTTAATCTTTCTGGTGGTGTATCAGCCATTAGCTAACAAAACTGAAAAATTATGCTTAAATGACACAATCCATTTGGGGATGAATGAATTTGGGAGATTCAATGAAATGAAGTGTTTTTAGATGACGTTAAGTACAAGGTGAATTGAGTAACAGGACACATACGCATCAACATCATCATCATCTTCATAGATGCAAAAGCTACCAAAAAAACAATAATTCGCAATAAAAAAACATTTCAGCTTTAAAATACTTAATGCACATCACAATAAATATTATTATAGTTGGCTTGCTCCTTTTCTTTGAATGCAGATGCAATTAGGATGGGCATGTCTTTGGGAGAAATATATATCTTATTTATAAAATGTTCTTATTGGGACAGGGACACGAATTGGGACACGAATCAATCGATCAGACCTTCCGCAAGGATGTTTTCCCATGGCTATGAAAATCATATCATCGCCAGCATTAGAGTTCGAGTCCATTTTTAGAAACACTTTAATTAATTAATGTGCAATAAATCTGCGTGCACTGTGGGGAAGCACGAGCAATGCAGAAAAGGAGTTGGTGGTGATAGTAGTGGTCTGATCAATGAATTCTAGTAAAGACAAGTTTAAGGAGGACCTGTCCAATGTCCACAACTCATTGATTATCGTTCAATTGTGTCCTCGTGTCCCCTTGGAACAAAGGAAGTGGTAAATTTGTCACTCAATTGGACACTTCCAATTTTAGATAATCGTGTTGTACACATTTTCTTCATAGAATTACATGTACACGAATGTGTAAATAGTAATGTTTGTTTTATATTGTATTCCCATTAAATACATACATACAGCAGGAATGTTAGTGTTGAATGAAACCTGATTGATGCAATCTAATTTCTATGTCTGCGGAGAAATTATATGTATTGAATTACGTCGTGCATATGTACATTATGCCAATTACCAGACACGAGATTGGAATAAAATATGTGTGACTGGAAGGTGCCAGATTTAGTATCTGCCTTATGATTATTATTTCATCAGATTGTCCTCAGTTCCAAGTTTGGAATTTTTTGTACATGTTCAAGAATAATCTCCAAAATTTCATTCGCTTTTGCTTCTGATGTTAATTTTATGTTAAGAAAACTTTTGTTAAACGTAAAATCGTAGAAACTCAAATAATAGTAATAATAATCAAATAGACGTTTTTCATGCTTACCTTCGCCTTCTGCGCACATATTCTCTTAATTAGAATGAGTCCAAGAGAATACACAAAACATGCAGAAAACTGTTGGCAAGCAGGATACCACATTAGTCGCTTTTATTCAGGTACATATATGCAATAGTGTCACAGTTAAGGACATTTCGTCAAATTAAAAAGTGTACGATAATCATAACTCTAAAATATTAAAGTTGGCTTTCACTCTTTTATTGACTCTATCGTTTCATGTTCATGTAGAAATAATATTTCCAACAAAATTCAAAAGGAATAGAGCTTTATCAATAATCAGAGTTTGTATGCCATCATAAATTCAATAATAATGCATGGAAAACAATAGGATCAAATTGACATTGATAAATTCCACATTCATGCCCAGAGATTAATAACGTTTTGCCTCTCCACCCAGTAATAACGGTCTGTTTTGTTATTATCGTATAACAATAACACCACAGACAGATTCCACCATAAGATCGCCGATCGGCCTCATGACCTAATTACGAACACAACCCTGGAGATTAAGAAACCTTGAATTGCTCTCCGCTGGGAAGATTCGGCAAACCCTTTTTGCTTCAAAAGGATGTCTCAATGTCAGTTATTACCCATTTTCATTATGTTATGCACATGCTAAGGATGCCGCTCTGAGGAACTAGATAAACCCAGAAGCTCCACGTTTGCTGATCATTTTTGATGGAGAAATAAAAGGAGAAAAATGAAATAAAGCCCTCCCACCATTCACCGTTACACAATTGTGATGTGTGCAAGTAGTAGATATCTTATGTATGAACATATGTATCAGACTGAGGCCGACTTTCAAGGAAAATGTCCAGCTTTGCTTTCACCTTGTTTCTTCCAGTAGAGAGAAAGCAGGCTGGCTGGCTGTTTGACTGAGCATTAATCAATCCGTCCACCTCCAGCCTTGACAAATGCATTTCAGTGATTACACATTTGATTTGAATTTCAGACCCGAGTAAACCTTTTTCTTGTGTATTTTACACCTTTTACGCCACATATGTACACACAAAGGCGTGTACAATGTCCCTTTTGTACTACCGAGCATGTGAAAAATCTTTGTTGGTCACTCCACTTCACTGACAAATGTGTATGATGCGAACACATCACGCCATGCCGTCCATGTGGTGTTTTGTGTATATATGTGGTCTCATGAATCTCTTTTTTGCGACTCGAGTCAACAAACATTTGTTGGTAATAGGAACAAGTAACCTTCGGAGAAAGCTATTTGTTCTGAGGAGTGACATGGCCACTGTGTCAGTAGTCAGGTCGCTTTCTCCCAATCAGCACCATCACAAAATTCAATCTGGACACCAATAGACTTGATTTTTATTACTGACTAAAATTTATTTAAATACAAAATGTGTGATTTGAATACCTGAAGTTGTAAAAAAATTAATCTTTACTTTTCTCTAAACTACATAAAGCCAATTAAATTTAGGAAAAGTTGTCTCTTAATCTATTCTGCATGTGGTAATAACTTGTCAATCGGAATAAAAATGTCGCGTGGTGGTGGCGTCATTGGTAAAGAAGTACCATTCAGAGATTTCC